ATGCCCAAGCGCTGGTTGCACGGCAGCGTGCAGTGTACATTGTGATGGACGACGGGCGGGGGCGGCGGCCTATCTGCCTACGACGTGTCTGCTCACGTTCTATGGGAGTACACTCTGTCGTGTACCGTTGTTGCCGGGGCATACGAACAGCAACGAGAACAGTAAGCGGCAGCAGCTATGGCCATACTGGGAAGACAGCAACTGTAGACAATAGACGACAGCCAGCAGACAGCTGACATGCGTCTGCAGAAAAGCGTGCATTAACCAAACGAGCATTGGCATCGATGGCAGAGGAAGCAGCTTGCATATGCAAATACCCGGATTGGGGTGAATCTGAAAGAGGTGTTGTGACGGTTGAGGTACGGAGTACAACATACTTTCTCTCATATCATTTTGTCGCAACCCGCGCGTGTGGAAATACTGCAAATAGTCTGGGTCTACGAGGAAGTGCATGACGAAATATAGTGCGGAATGTTTCGACGAAACATGCAATTTTGCAGATTGTTGCTGTCCACTGCCTTTTGGTTCGTCGACCTATGAGCATCCCATGCGTGAACAGACAGTAAAACAACACTGGAGACGGAATGACAAAATGTTCAAGGCGCGCCATGGCCCGCCCGATTGGTACGGGAGCAAGTTGTTGGGGGCTGTTATTAGTACAACAAATGTCGACATGGTGGCTTGGCCCGTGTTTTCTTTCTTTTCCCTATTTTTTCTCTTTCTATTCTAGCAACTCCGCGACCAATGGACCTGTGGCATCCACAGTTCTGACGTGCTTTGCACAAGATGGTGTAGTGGGCTGTGGTCTCTGTTGCTGGATTTGGCAGTCTGATATGGGCTGTGTTTTGAGATTCGGCGCGTTTGGTTGTCTGTTCGTCGAGGCGGAGGGGCGTGAATGCAGCAAAGTCAGAAGAGAGGGGTCCCATCCTCTTACCAGTCGCGCGGATCGAGGATGATATGAAGCAAAGAGGCAAAAGAGGTACGTGGAAAGGAAAAAAGAGAACCACAACAATGTATATAGCTGTTTAGATGAAGTGGCCCTTTAAGCGGGCGCCTTTGTCTTGAATGTATCCTTTTCACCCCGGCACCTTCTTCTTTTTGATCAGTTGCTTACAGCACTATACTGTCTTATGCCCTCTTTTTTGAATATATCCAGTCCGGTGGAAACGTGGATGTTCTCTACAGATATGTGTCACTTATTGATATATTTGTAATTAAGGGTAAATTCGTAAACGGAGCGCAACAAAATGTGTCCACCACCGCTCTCCAGTCGTCAAGTGTGGCCCAATGCCGTAGTGTCTCCCACAATGTCTTGCTTCGAGAGTTTGTGTGTCCCAGCATCCAGTGTCTTGTGTCTCGTGCCCTGTCCGAATCGACCTTGTGTTCTGCTGTCTCGGGTGGCCAAGTGAGCATCTCTATGGGATACGCGAGTCTAGTGCGTCTCTTGGCCGGGAAGACAGACGATGTCGAAAGTGTCACGAGATATTGGTCTGATGATCGCAGTAGGCAGACGCAATGCTCTACTAGTTTAATCTTCTTTTGTTTTTTTCTAAAGAAGCTCCAAACTTGATTATTTTGTATCTTATCCTGGCCGAGGTTCATCTTTCCCACTCCGTAATATGTCTTACAGCTCTTCATAGCTACCGATCGTCCTCCCCCCTCCCCTTCCGCAAATGTCTTATTTGATGATCCTCTAACGGCAAGTATTTCGTACTGATGGCGCGTCTTGTCCTAAGGGCATCCCGTCGCAAAACTTGTTTTCTCTCATTTTTATGACATTTTACTGAAGCGTTGAAATGCTCTAGTCCTCATGTCCATGCCGCTCCCATGCCTATACCATGCCCTTTCTCCCCTTCCTCCCCCAACGTTCTCATTCCAGCATTACCCGCTCACCTTCTTAATGAAGAATGATCTTCTCATGTCTTGTTTTGCCTGTAATTCTATTTCCCCCTTAGAAAACGGTGGCTTTGAGCACCGAGGCAAGGGGAGAAATGTAAACAGCAATATCGATTAAAGAGAAGAAGCTGAAAGACACACTTTTGTAGTCATCTCGTTCAGGAACAGGAGCTGGAGGGGCTGTCGACCCCTGCTCGTCCCCAAGGTCAGGTCAGTTTTCTTCCATACACGCCCCCCCTTTTCGTTACGAACGCAAAGTGTTTCATGTGCTTACCCTCCTGCTTTTCGCTCATTTTTCAGCTTTTCTGATGCGATGCGAATGTGCTTGTTCGTAGCGTCTTTACGGGCCATTTATCTTTACTTCGCAGGCCTGCTCATTTGTTCCCCGTGGTGAACAAAAAGACGACGACCCGTTGTAAGCAGAGAAAACGAGAGAAACCACCAGACCGATCCCCGTGGACGTGCAGCATGCAAAGGCGATCCAAACGACCGAAAAGAGAGTAATGCGCCTGGGCAAAGCGCGCCCGTTCCTTTGAAGTGGTGCGCGTCTAACCAACGAAAGCGCGGCGATGAGTACGAAGTACTACCTCGCACTAACATCGCAAATGGTGTGTAGATGGTGTGGTATGCTGCAAGACAAGGAGGGAAAAGGAGACACCAGCGGAGCGCATGACCTCCTATCCACGCTGTGTCTGTCCTTGTGTGCAGAGTACGACGTACTTGTGTCTCTTGGACTCGTCTTTGTGTCCATCTTCTATGGCCTCATGAGGACAGCGCGCGAGCGACAGTGTCCGTCCAGGCCCATCAAGACCAAGACAGGCCGTCACCCATCACCGCCATCGCCCATCTCCCCATGTCGCCATCCCAGGTATCGTCATCGCGGGCCCATCCTCGCTCTGCCGTGTCCGGTGACGTCGTTGTCCCCTCATGCTGTCTCTCTCTCCCACCTCTTCTCACTCTGTCTTCATGTCTGCCCCTCTGCCCCCTTCTTGCCCCCTGACTCGTCGTTCGTGTACGGACAGTCAGCTCCCATATCTGGTCACATCGTAATTTTAACGAGCACGAGGTGGTGTCGCTAAACGTCGCGGGAGCTCTCACTCTCTCTGATCTCCTCAGTAGCTCCCCAATAGCACCAAATCCGGACCCTCCATCTCCCCCAGTCTCCTTTTTTCCCCTCTGTCTCCTCGTCCCGATCACGACCTGGGCGCGTGCGCGACCGAGAATCTAATTTAACGTCCTGGGCTTGTGGTCGCGAGGCGGCGCTCCTACGCGACTGTGTGTTGGCGCTAAACCACGGACCCCTGTCTCTGGTAAGGTGGACGATGCCGACAGAGGACAAGCGGGAACGAGAAGACGACTGACAGCCTATCATGCGGGCCGCCATTGGGTTTTTGTTGGTATCCGGTTTAAATGAAGCGAAAATTGCCCTATGCCTGTTTGAGACTGAGAAAACGCGGCGCATCTGTCCATGTTCGTACCTTGCATATGTTCTCGCCGTATTTCGATGAGATCGAAGGGAAAGCTGGATAATGTGGAAGCTCGCTTTTCGCCAACAAACAGAGTAATTCGTACGATTGATGTGGTATGAGAGTGCTTCTTGGTCTCGCTCTGGAAGAAGATGAGGATCTGTCCATGGCCTGATGGCCTTGCTTTTCGAACAAAGGAAGGAGTGGACAAGAAACTGGCGGAAGGAACGACTGGTCGAACATCAACTTATCAAGAAACCAAACAAGCATCACGTAACTACCGATGCTGCGTCCGACCGCTTTCCAGTCTCTGCGTCCCTGTGCCTTTGCACCTCTGTGCCTATGCACCTGGTGTCTGTCTGTCTGCTTGGACCCTGAACGTTACGGTCGCTTCTGCCGTCTGCCGAGGCGCTCTGACCGCCTTTCGTCTTCTGTCCTCCTCCTGTTACAAATGACTCCTCCTATTCTCCTTTCATTTCTCTGTGCTTCATGCTCCTCTTCTGCCCAGAAACGCTGCGGTCCGGCAGAATACAAAATGCGCCGCTGCAACAGGTGTAACCAACTGCCTGAGCACCTGTTTGCGTCGTTTGGCTCCATCTACAGTGTAGCTCCAGACTGCAGGAACCCCATTCAAGCTCTATGACACTTTGGCGGTCAAGCCTCGTGTATGTTTTCGGCAAGAGCTAGGGGGTTTAGACTCTCTGGTAAAGGGCGAAAAGGGAAAGAGAAACCAAGGAGCAAACGCTTGCTCCACAAATGGTAATTGTGTTGCTCCTGTCATAGAGAAAGAGCGGGAAAAAGGTGCACAGGGAAAGAGCGAACGAAAGGCAGAAAAGCACAACAAACCCGGCATCGCATCGTCTGCTTCTGCTTCTCTGCTTCTGCTTCTCTGCTTCTGCTTCTGCTTCTCTGCTTCTCTGCTTCTCTGCTTCTCTGCTTCTCTGCTTCTCTGCTTCTCTGCTTCTCTGCTTCTCTTCTTCCGTCTCGTTTCTTCATTCGCCCTCATTGCTTCACTGTCCCTCGCCCTGCCCATTGCTGCACTTTCGCCCGGCAGCGCACAGCCGTCCTAGTACCGACTTCTCGCACAGCTTCCTACACCGCCAGCCAAGCTTCGCATCAATTCGTCGATAGGAACCTCTCGGACACACAGCCAGGATTGCTGCGACAAATTGTCTACCCAAAAGACACAGCGAGCATCTCCAAAACGAGATTCACTAGCCCAGTCAGAGACAGAAAGGAGTTATTATTTCATTTTTCATCATTCTATGCGCTGGCCGACGCGATCGGTCTCTGTCGGATGCGACGAAAAAAGTAAGAAGACTGCGCCAAAAACCAACCACAAGCTAGCAGAGCTCCCACGGTTTCCCTTTAGCTTTGTCTTGCCTCGTGTCCTAGGCTCCCCACACCACAGCTGCATGAGCACTAAAGAGCTAACCGGCGTCGCTTCCTTCTCGCAGGAGCCTCGATTTTCGATCAACGTCCAAAGGACTCGATTCCGACAGCGACACCAACGACAGCAAGAACAAGAACAAAAACAAAAACAGCAGTCTTCTCAACATCCGCACTACAAACAGCCTCGACGTGCCCCAAACGCAACCCGCCTCGTCGGCCTCGTCCATCACCACGTCCTCTACGACGATGAGCTCGCCTCCCTCCGGCTCGGGTGGAGGTGCTGTGACGGCCACCTTTCTCGAGCAGACTGTCTCGCTGCTTGGGTCGGCCGCTTCCTACATGCGCCTGCCGGCCATTGCATCGACTGTACGTCTGCCATGCCATGCCGGGCGAATGTGCTGAAACTCCGCCGCACAGTACAGAGAACTGACCTGTCGCGTAGGGCGTCGCTGCTGTCCTCACATCCCTCCTCTACTTTAAGCAAAAGTGAGTTCTACACTGCGCCTGGTTCAAACCCTATCGAACCATTGAACTCTTCGGGGCGTATGGACATCATCCCCCATTGTTGCAGATGTGCTAACAGGCACTCTTCGCCCTCCAGAGCCCTCATCTACCCGTCGCACGTCCCCGCCAACGCACGCAACGACATCCCGAGCCCCAAGCAGTTTGGCCTCACCGACTTTGAGGAGCTGGTCATTCCCACCGACGACGGCGAGAAGCTCGCCGCCTTCTACATTCGCGGTCCCCGCGGCCCGGCCGAGGCACGAAACAGCCGCCATGCCCGCACCACCGTCATCATGTTCCACGGCAACGCGGGCAACATTGGCCACCGCCTGCCCATTGCCCGCATGCTGCGCCATCTCGTCGGCTGCAACATCTTCATGCTCGAGTACCGCGGCTACGGCAGCTCCACGGGCGAGGCGGGCGAGTCCGGCCTGAGCGTCGACGCCCAGACTGCGCTCGACTACCTGCGCAACCGCGCCGAGACCAGCACCCACAAGTTTATTGTTTACGGCCAGAGCCTCGGCGGCGCCGTCTCCATCCGCCTCGTTGCCGACAACCAGCAACAGGGCGACGTCGTCGGGCTCATTCTCGAAAACACGTTTCTCAGCATGCGTAAGCTGATCCCCCAGATCCTACCGCCTGCCCGCTACCTGACGCTGCTGTGCCACCAAGTCTGGCCGAGCGATTCCGTCATTCCGACCATCACAAAAGTACCCATTCTGTTCCTGAGTGGCCTCAAGGACGAGATCGTGCCGCCCAGCCACATGCGCCAGCTGTACGACTTGTCGCAGGCGCCCAACAAGATCTGGAAGCCGCTGCCGCTGGGCGACCACAACTCGAGCGTGCTCGAGGAGGGCTACTTTGAGGCCATTGCCGACTTTATCGCCTCGGCCACCGACGAGGGCCCGACTGAAAAGCCTTTGTTATAGTTATAGGACGGGGTTCCATCCTCGCCCTGCAGACCTTGATACCCCCCTCCGCTGCGCGTGCAGGAAAGAAGTTTCCTATTTTGTTCTTCTTTTCTTTTCTTCTCCTTTGTCTTCTTGATCTGCCATCTTGTCCTTCACGTCACTCGTTTAGACACATTCCACAGCGTGTCAATCTTCACCTCTCGTTCGCCTTTTTTATTTCTTTGTACATACGATTTTCGAGGCGCACTCTCTATTGGGTAGTTTGTGCAATTCGTGTAACTCGTTTTTCTTTGCGTTTTGCTTTTGTCACTAGGCTGGCCAATCCGACTTTCTTTGCGTTGCTTGCTCGTTTTGGATAGGATCGATGAATACACTACACAGGTCATAGCATACACGGTATTGCGGTATTTCACATAAATTCACACTTGGAACCGTTCGTCTTTTCTTCCTTCTTTTCGTTTCGTATACGATTCTTCTCCGTGGCGTGTCTAAACATTCAAAATACCAAAATAACTATTCCTATATAGTGGTGCGTACATGCGTTCCTCCATTTTGGTTCTACCGATTGGATTTTCACTCGCCATTCTTTTTTGGTCTTTTTTCTTGTAAAAAAAACTTCGTAATCCCCCCCCCCCGGGTTTACTCCAGCTTCAGGGCCTCAAACTGCTGCACGGTCTGCTCCAGCTGCTGCACCTCGCTCTCCTGCTCCGCCAGTCTCTGCTGGTCGGCCTCCTGCGTCGCCGCCGCCACCTTTTCCTTGTACGTCGCATCGCCCACCAGCTTGCGCGTCTTGGCCGCGTTCGCCGACGCCTTGCTGAGCTTCGTCTGCGCCTTCTTGATCTCCGCGTCGAGGTCCACGTGGCCCTTGACGTGCAAGAAGACCGAGGCCGCGCCGGACACCTGGACCGCGACGCAGCCCACCGGGCGCGGCGCACCGGGTGTCAGCACGGTGATGCGGGCGCTGCCGCCGGCTTTGCCGAGCAGCGAGCGGATGGCGGGCACCTCCTGGGTGGCGGTGGCGTGGGCGTCGTCGTTGGTGGTCTGGACAAAGACGTCGACGGCGGCGTCCTTGGGCAGCGGGTACTCGACGACGAGCGAGCGGATGCCGCGCGAGGCGTCGAGCACGAGCTGGTAGGCGGCCTCGGCGGCGGGGTTGTCCAACCGGGTGTCGTGTTCCGGGTACGGCGCCACGACAATGGAGGGCGTCGCGTCCTGCGGGCGGCGCGGCAGGCGCTGCCACAGCTCCTCGGTGATAAAGGGCAAAAAGGGGTGGCTCAGCAGCAGGGCCGTCTCGAGCGCGCTGTAGAGCGTCTGCAGGGCCGACTCGCGCTGGGCGGGCGTGCCCTCGGCGATGATGGTCTTGGAGTTCTCGATGAAGACGTCGCAGAGCTCCGCGTACCAAAAGTTGTAGAGGGCGTTGGACGCGTTCTTGAACTCGCGCTCCTCGACGGCGTGGCCAATCTCCTTGGCGGCCTTGTTCATCTTGGCCAGGATCCACAGCTCGGCCAGCGACTCGTCGCCGCCGAGCGTGCGCGTCGCGCGCGGCTGGAAGCTGGCCGCGCCGGTGCTGTGGGCCGCGATATTGCCGAGCACAAACTTGGAGGCGTTCCAGATCTTGTTGCAGAAGCGGCGGTACGCGTGCATGACCTTGATGTCAAAGTTGATGTCGCCGGAGCCCGTGACGTAGTTGGCCAGGCACATGCGCAGGCCGTCGGCGCCGCACTCGGGAATGCCCGCGGGGAAGGCGGTCTTTTGGTACTTGATGGCCTTTTGCACCTCCTGCGGGTCCAGGTTGCCCTTGAGCAGCGACTCGTTGAGCGCCTCGAGGCTGATGCCCGAGATGACGTCGAGCGGGCTGATGACGTTGCCCAGGCTCTTGGACATCTTGCGGCCGTCGGAGTCGCGCACCAGCGGGTGGCAGTACACCTCGTAGAAGGGCACCTTGCCCGTCAGCTTGAGGCTCAGCATGACCATGCGGGCAATCCAGAAGAAGAGAATGTCCCAGCCGGTCTCGAGCATGGACGTGGGGAACAGCTTCTCAAAGTCGGGCGTCGCCTTGGGCCAGCCCAGCGTGGAGAAGGGCCACAGGCCGGACGAGAACCAGGTGTCGAGCACGTCCTCGTCGCGCACGAGGCGGATGGTCTTGCCGGGGAAGGCCTTGGTGGCCTTGGCCCGGGCCTCCGCCTCGGTCTTGGCCGCAAACCAGCGCGTGTTGTCGCCGGCGTCGCTCTCCTCCTCGCCCTCGATGTGGGCCAGGTAGACGGGGCACTGGTGGCCCCACCACAGCTGGCGCGAGATGCACCAGTCGGTGATGTTGGCCATCCAGTGGCGGAAGCTGCGGTCGGCGGACTCGGGCTTGATCTTGAACTGCTTGTCGTCGAGGGCCTGGACGGCCATCTGGGCCATCTCGCCCATGCGCATCCACCACTGCGGCTTGAGCCGCGGCTCCACGACGTCCTTGCTGCGCTCCGACAGGGGCACGACCATGGGGTTGTCCTTCTTGTCGACGTAGAGGCCCAGCTTCTTGAGGTCCTCGGCCACGGCGTAGCGCACGTCGAAGCGCTTCTGGCCGGCGTAGGGCCCGCCGTTCTCGTTGATCAGGCCGTCGTCGGTCAGGATGTTGATGAACTCGAGCTTGTGGCGCTCGCCAATGGCAAAATCGTTGGCGTCGTGCGCGGGCGTGATCTTGACGGCGCCGGACCCGAACTCGCGGTCGACGTAGTCGTCGGCCACAATGGTCATGACGCGGTCCGGGATGAAGGGGTGGACGACGCGCTTGCCGACGAGGTGCTTGTAGCGCTCGTCCTGGGGGTGGACGGCGATGCCGGTGTCGCCGAGCATGGTCTCGAGACGCGTGGTGGCGACCTCAATGGTCTCGTCGGAGCCGGCAATCTGGTACTTGAAGTAGACAATGACGCCGAACTCGACCTTCTTGGCGTAGCCGGGCACGTCGAGCAGGGTGCGGCCGGTCAGCTCCTTGTTGTTGACCTCGAGGTTGGACAGCGCGGTGTTGAGCTTGGAGTCCCAGTTGACGAGGCGGTTGGCGCGGAAGATGGTGCCCTCCTCGTGCAGGCGCACAAACGTCTCCTGGACGGCGGCGCTCAGGTTCTCGTCCATGGTGAAGGCCTCGCGGCTCCAGTCAAAGGAGCCGCCCATCTTGCGCAGGGCGTTGTTGATGTTGGCGTGGTACTGCGTCTTCCAGTCCCAGACGGTCTTGATGAAGGCGTCGCGGCCGAGGTCGTGGCGGGTCTTGCCCTCGCGGCGGTACAGCATGGTCTCGACGACGCTCTGCGTGGCAATGCCGGCGTGGTCGCAGCCGGGCAGCCACAGGGTGGTCTTGCCCTTCATGCGGTAGTAGCGGATCATGATGTCCTGCAGCGAGTCGCCGAGGGCGTGGCCCATGTGCAGCGAGCCGGTGACGTTGGGCGGTGGGTGGGAGATGACGAAGCGGCCGTTGGGGCTCTCCTGGCCGTCGTCGCCAAACTGGGGCTCGAAGAAGCCCGCCTTCTCCCAGTACTCGTACCAGGCGCTCTCGACGGCCACGGGGTTGTACGACTTGTAGTAGGGGTCGTCGAAGCTGCGCAGACGCTTCTTCTCGCCCGCGGGCGTGTCGTTGGTGTAGGGCGCAAGGGTCTCCTCGGCAGCCGCCGCCTTGGGCGCCTTGGCCTTGGCCTTCTTCTCGCCGGCGGCCGCGGCGGCAGCAGGGCCGGCGCTGGCCGTATTTGCAGCAGCGGCAGCCTTCTGGGCCGCCTGCTTCTGCTGGAACTTGGCGAGCTTCTCGGCCTTTTTGCGGTCGCGCTCGGCCTCCTTGTCGGATTTCACTTTCGGGGCGGCCGCCGCAGCAGCATCGCCCTGGGCCGGCGGAGCCTCAGCCGAGGGGTCTGCAGAGCACAATCGTCAGCAATACGACACGCAATGGGGGAAGGAGAGCACGGGCCGTGAACGTACTGGTCGCCATAGTTGCACGTGCACGGAAGATGGTCCGGTTTGTTGCGGGTGACGGGCGCAGCAAGAGCGCGCGGAAGAAGCGAAAGGACGACGTTTTGGCGTCCTCGGAACGAGTTCGTATGGGGGGGTAATGCGTGGAAAGGCAATCGGCCGGGGGTGGATAAGAAAGCGCGGAGCAACAAGGGGCCTTTGGTCGTTCAGCCTCGTCTAGATATATCCGTTTGTTTTGTGCGGATGTTTTTTCGAGGGCCAGTCACACTTTTCGTGAGTCACGCTAATTTTGGTAGGCTCTGGGTTGCTCCTGCCGTTTGCGGGTGCTTTGCGACGGTTCTGGAGCAGTTGCTGCAGCGTGCAGCATGAGGGGCAGCGGGGAAAGAGCAAAAACAGTTTGCGGCAGGCGCTATGGGCTAGGCGGTGAAGCGCGATGGCCAATGGCAGCCAGCAGGAATGAGTGGCTCATTGGCCAATGCCAGGGCTGCTACAAACGGAAAGTGCCAGGGCCTGCATGTGCGGGCACCTGCCTCGCCTCGCCCCAGCTGCATCATAGTCCGCCGGAGGAAAGAGCTCCCTGACAGGCCGTTGGTGTAAGCTCGTGTAAGAAGATACTTCATACTAATCTGCAAACTGTATTACGACGTAATTGGCCCGTCAGAAAACTCTGAATAGCTTCAGGGCGCTCGTGCTGTGAAAGACGGAGAAAACAAGGACGGAGACAACGGAGCCAGACGGTGTTATGCCATGACTCTACATTTTGTCACTATTTTTCTGTTCCCAAAATCCTACACCTCCCTCTCGTCAAAACAACTTTCATGCCGTGACCCAATCTCAAGATTTACAATCGCCTTGTGATGACTCTCTCAGCCTTGCGTCCTCGGTTGGCAGCGGCTGTCGCTGCGCCGTGTGCCGCGCCACGGTGTATGCGATGGTTTTCGTCAACATGCGCGCGGCAGAGCGGCCAGTTCACCGTCGCGGCTTCGCCGTCCACATCCAAAGTGAGTCCAAAGTGAGTCTCTTGCGTGACGTGGTGTGCGACCTGCAACATCTAACAGACACCAGCAAACTGTCCTTGACACCATCCGGTCACGAAAGGAGGCACTGGCAGCACAGAGCCAGGCAGCATCACCAGGCAGTCCTGACAATGCGGCTGTTATACTGGCATCGCCCGATTTTGCGACTTGGCTCGACGACGAGGCGTTTTTGGCCGCTCTGCTCCAGCAGCTGCCATTGAGTCAGCCGAGGAGCAGTGGCGGCACGGAGACGAGTGTCTTGTGCGCCGTTGTGGCCGCCCTGGCGGCGCCACAGACCACAGCGTGCGTCCGTGGAGGACGAGACGAACGGCCGCCCGTTTCGGGCCTGTCCATTGCCTATGGCAACACGGACGCGCTTCTGCCGGACATGTGGCGCGGTGACGACAGCAAGGCAGCGCTCCGGCGCAGCCGCGGGTCCATTGGCAGCGATCTCGACCGGGAGGCGGCGGTGACCGTCCAAGTACCGCCGTTGGCGGGCGCGCAGGCGGACGGCGACGCGTCGCTGCGGGTGACGCTTCCTCTCAGCAACACCATTTTCCAGAACGGCCGGCGGTCGACGCTGCTGGCGAGCCGGTGGCAGACTCTCGAACAGGGTGGCTTCCAACGCCAGACGCTCGAGGCGCGTGACCACCAGCTGATTGTTGCACCGCCGTCATCCTCATCCTCATCCTCAATATCGTCATCATCGTCACCATCGACACAGGATACGACATGCGTGTCTGCGCCCCTATTTGCCCTTTCCGAGCCGCTCCAGATCGCGTCCGGGCTGGGCAACATTGTGCGGCAGGTGTTTGACCGGGACAGCGCCAAGCCCATTCCAGCAGCGCGCGAGCTCGAGGCAGCCATTCCGGCGCTGCTGGCCGCTCGGCGCAGGGCAACCCCCGCGCTACAAGACGGGGCACTGGCGGTCTGGGGCCTCGTGATCCCGGCACCGGCTGTGCCCGTGTACGAGCAGCTCAGGGCGAGGCTGCAGGCACAGCAAGAGTCGCCATTGGACGCCCTGGCCGGCGATGCAGACCACACCCCGGCAGCCGAGCAGCAGGCGGCGGCGCAGGCATCCGCACACTTTACAGAGTTGTTGGCTGCAGGCTGTCGTCTGCACAGAATTTGTGAGTGCCCTTCGCACGTGTTTTTGCTTTTCGGTCTCGTTTCGCAGTTGCTACGTTGTCCTTTGCTATTGCACCCGTCCCTATTTCTGTGCTGTGCTAATATAAATCGCCAGTGAGCGGTGGAGGCGGCTGGGGCCTGAAGCAAGGCCTGCTCTCACTCGATCCCCAGATGAGCCATCCCGCGGCAGCCAGTCTCTCGTCCGTTGCAGCGAGCAGCATCGGTAGCGATGCGTCGTTGCCACAGCAGGCGCCCAAAATCCTCGGCGAGGAGCGTCGTGACGACGAAATGGACGACGAAGCCATGCTCAGCTTCATCCGCTCGTTCAAAAACGAGACGCACATGGGGCCGGACGTGAGCAAGAACGAGAGTGGGAGCGAGGTTGACAGAGCGGGAGGGGCCGTGGATGGCGTGGCGATGCCAGGAGCCTATGTGCAGTTCTTTGTGGCGCCGTTGGCTGCAGCACCAGAAAACGCACAGTCCCTCAATCATGCCAATGCCGAGACCGGCTCCGATGCCAGCGGCTGGTCGATTGCGCTCGGCGCACAAGCTGGCTACGACGGCAGCCCGCCCATTTTGGCGTCTGACGACGACAGCCAAAGTGACCAGGTCGCATTGATCCACAATCATTTCGGTGCCGTCTCCAACCACGGCATCTTTTTGTCCGCTGTTGCGCGCGCGAGAAATGGAGGCAATGGCAGCAATAGCAGCAATGGCAATGGCAGTGGCGCGCACGCGACCCGCACCAAACTCGATGCCCACAATGCCTATGTCTGGGGAAGCATGCACCCGCGGTAGTGCTACATTGCCGGCGAGGAAAGAACGGGACGGGAAAGAAGGGAAGGAACGAGCAGTGGCTTAAAATGGTGGCCAGACAGAGCGCAGAAAACGATATGAGCACACCATCGTTCCAGCTTTGCGCTTTTTAGAACCTCTCAGACCCAAGCCTCTTGTTCTGTACCTATTATAGAGCGCTGGCGACCTAGCTTGCTGCCAGCAAAATCACAAATCACCAGAGGACGGCCTGAACCACTGACCACTTTTAACTCTACAAACAAACGAGCAAATTGGCAGCAATCAAGACATCTCAAGAAACATAGACAAAAGACAAAGACAAAAGTCAGAAAAAATTCAAAATTCAAACTGCTGGACTTCTTCCACACAAAGAACAACAACCGAGTAAGAAAACTGTCGAATCATTCATAGAAGAGATAACCGAAACCCCTCCAAATCGCGCCTTCCTGGAAACTTGTGAATTGCGCCCCATTAGACGACACCGAACGCGCCTTCCCACACAATATCAAAGCCCTTTCCGATCTGACCTTCGCTTCTTTTTGACCCCTATTTTACATTTGTCCTTTTTCTTCACTTGTTTTACTCAGCCTTTTCCCTCCCGTTATCCTCCCCCCATCCGCCCTTCTCACTACCTGCCATGGCTCCTGCACCGACGCTCGCCAAGGTGGGCATCCTGTCCATTGGCGACATGGGCATGGGCATCGCCAAGCTGCTGATCGCCAACGGCTTTTCGGTTGCAACCAACATCGCCGGCCGCAGCCAAGACACCGCTGATCGTGCCAAGGCCGCCAATGTCCAGGTGCTGCCGTCGGATGCGGCCCTGGCCGCCCACTGCGACATTATCTTTTCCGTGGTGCCGCCGCGCGACGCTGTTGAGACCGCCCAGCGCATCGTTGATGCCCTGCCCGCCGCCAACCGCCCGGCGGACCGGCCGCTGTACTTTGCCGATATGAACGCCGTGGCACCGTCGACGTGCAAGACCATTGCCGGCCTGTTTGCCGCCGCAGGGACCAAACCGCCCGTGCACCTGGTTGACGGATGCATCCTGGGCGGGCCTCCGCAGCTGCGGCCGGCCGCAGCCACGCCGCCCGTCGTGACGCCAGCGGCATTGGCATCGGACGGGGCCGACAAGGCCAACTCGTCCGCTCCCGGGACCATCTCGTCCGACGCCGCGGCCCCCCTCGAGTGGTACCGCCCGCTCATGCCCACGTCCGGCCCGCACAACCTCGACGTCTTCCCCACGCTCGCCGCGGCTCTCAACAGCCGGCACATTGCCGACACGATTGGCAGCGCCAGCGGCCTCAAAATGTGCTTTGCCGCCATGTCCAAGGGCTACTCGGCCATTGCCATCCAGGCCTTTACCACGGCGCACAAGCTCGGCGTGCTCGAGGACCTGCAGTGGGCCATGGGCTCGCTGGTGCCGGGCCGCGTCAAGCAGACCGAGGGCGCGCTGACGGGCATGGCGCCCAAGGCCTACCGGTGGGTGCGCGAGATGGAAGAGATTAGCGACACGTTTGCCGAAGAGGCCGGCTTTGCGCCCGACCTGTTCCGGGGCGCCGCGGGCGTATTCAAGGCGGTGGCAGAGGACACCGTGCTGGGGCAAGAAAAGATTGGACAGCGCAAGCGGGGGCGGACGGCCGAGGACGTGGCGTCCGCCATGGCTGAGGGCTTGGACGCGAAGCGGCAGAAGAAGCAAAAGAGGGAAGACTAGCCGACGGCCCAGGGCGTGGCCCAGGGCGTGGAAATGAGAAAGTTATCATGTTATGTCGGGAGGCAACTTTGATTTCTTGATTTCTATGCGTCGTAACTGCTTCTTTGCCGCTCGTCTTGGTTTACTTTAGCGAACCTGCATTTGCAAATCTGAACATTCTGTCTTCTCGTCCGCAAACCTGCTGTTCTGGTTTCAGCCGCATCGATCCGTCTCGTCAACTCACCCATACTGCTGTGCATCGCGATTCTGGCACGCCGAAGAGGCGCCGCCCGTGAGATGTGCCAAGGTGAGATGAACAGGATGCGATACCGTCAAACCAGGGAGCGGCATGCACATCATCTGCATGTTTCAGAGGTGGTGGGATGTACGTTGACGTGGGCATGTGCAACGGCTAGACAATAAGGTGGTTAACGGGTTGTAGACAATCCTGTTGTCGTCCCGATTTGGAGATCGGGTTCTTGCTTCTCTCGTTTGCCCCAGAACCGGTCGGTGAAGCTGCATCCAGACCGAAGTTCGAGCCAATTATGACAGCAGGTCGGTTCACCTTGAGACTGTTGAGGTAGTATGACTTGCCACGAGATGCACAACAGACTCGGTTCGGCTGGTTTCGTTTATGGCGTCCTTTAACTCGTCGTGGCAACTGTGCAGATGTCGTGATGCAGACGGCGCTGACACGACGTAGTTGAATTTGATTTATTGAAATAACAAATCTGAAACGTTGTACTTTTTGTTTTTTGGTATTTTTTTTAAAAAAAAAAATAAAGAGAGAGAATAGTGACGTTTATTATTTAGTAAATATATTTACTTGTAACAAAATGTACTCTTTTTTCACGTTTATTAACGATTTTTTTAAAAAGAAAAAATAAGAAAATGCCCAGTGGAACGTGACAATTCTTTAGAAAACGATAGAGCCAAAAAAAAAAAAAGAAGGGAGACTGCCAAAAATAGCATATATCACATTTTATTATCATATTATCTGAAATTCAAAATTTCTTCGATTTCCCTCGATTTCTTGCTACGCGACGCAAACACGGCAGGAACGGGCAGACGGGCTACCCGTGCGTGTCGTACAAGCCTTATCCTCTTGCCAAAAAACCGGATTTGCAAAGGCGCTTGGCGCCCTTACATCACCGGTTCCTTCCTGTTTGGTGGCCACCACCAGCAGCTGCCGAACCTGTATTTTGACACTTTCTGGACGGCAGGCACGCGGCTGTACTGCAACACAAAACACAATACGTACTGGGAAGGAACAGGTGTGACAACGACGGCTAGGCTCCACTACACTGATCCCTTCCCTTTTCATCCGTCCATCTTCGCATTCTCCATACTTTTGGCTTTTGCCTCTCTTTATACTTTACTCTTGCATGAACGAATTAATACCTCTGCCGCACCTGCAGTCCATTTCTCGCCAGCCTCGCACAATACCGATCGATGGGAAACGAAGACAAAGGGCCAGAAGACCTACGTCCTGACTCTCGTCGTTGTCGACGTATAAAGCGAGGACCCACCTCGCCAGACGTTCTTGTCTCATATATTGGCATCGTCTCCTCTTGATTAACGCAAACAACGGTCCTATCGACTGTCCGGCCATCAAAACTACTTTGCTCGCCGGCATGGCATCCAACACGCTGGCTGAAGAGGCCATATCTAGCGACACCACAGAGCCGGGCGAGAGCCCTGTAAATGGCAGCATACAGAGCGACTCTGACATCGAGGATCATCATCGTCGAGATGGCGACGATGGCAAAGAGGAGCTCAGCGACAGCTTATCACCACCGTCGGGCACTTTGCCGATGTCAAGAACGTTGTCAACACCATCCAACCCGTCGCGACCGGTCCATGCGAGGGATACACCCCGAAGACAAACGAGGACCCAACCACCGAAATATGCGACAGGAACTCAGACGCAGACACAAGCACAAGCACAAATATCGTCGCAAACACAGTCTCAGTCCCAGGCACAAACACACATACCGTCGCAGAGACAGCCTCAGACCCAAACCCGGGCACGGATCCGAACCAGACCATTGCGGCCCTACTCGAAATCGCCACTCGACACTACCGGTATGCCTTACAACGCGACCAGCGTATCCGTTCCTCTCCCACTCCCTCTCGCCATGCCGGCGCCGGCGTCAACAACTCGCACACGACGAATTCGCGCCGCCGCTCTCCCAAAAGTCAGTACGTCGACGGCACCCCCCACACCTTTGAAATCCCGACCGCAGCAAGAACCGCAGCCGGAACCGCTCCTCGACCTGGAGCCACTGCCCTCCCTCGGCCCGATCCTCCTTCCGCCGCCGTTGCCACCTGGCACAGCCCCGCCACGGGCCAAGCTGGCCGTGCAGCTCAAGGTCAACCTCGAGATTGAGGTGGTGATCAAGGCGCGCGTTTGTGGAGATATTTTGCTGTCGGTGTTGTAGGAATGAGGCTGAAACTTGTATACCCTGTAATAATAATGGACGACGCAAAACGGAACGACGGAACGAAGAATGGACGCGGTGGATTCATACACGATAGCATACACGATGCACATACAATAATATAGAGACGGACACGGGACATGGTATTTTTCTTTTGGCAAGTTATTTCCCGCGACACGATAAACCATTTATGTTCCTTTTTTTGAGACTATGTTTTTCGTACTATCCATCTTGAGCCCAAGACGCGCCGTCTCTGTAAAGCATAGAAGCAAAAAAATAATATCAAAAATATTGTACACCCTTGGCTGCCGTCGACCAGCAGCCCGCCTCACAGAATCATATCCGTATCGTCGCCGTCGTCGTGCGCCGCTGCTGCGGCCTCGACGGCCGGTGCAGCGGTGGTGGTGGCGGCGGCGCCGTTGCTGCCCTCGACAAAGTAGTCGGCCATCTCTGCGTCCAGCTCCTCTTGTGTCTTGCGCGGCCGCCGGTTGCCGCCGCCGCCGCCACCGTTCTGGCTGTTGTTGTTGTTGTTGTTGTTGTTGTTGTTGTTGTTGTTGTCAGAACGGCCGTTACCGTTACGGCCGCCTCTCCGCTCACCCGGCCGCCGGCCGCCGTCGCGGCGGCGGGGCGGCGGACTGTGCGACCGCGACAGCCGGCCACTACCACCGCCCCCGGCCGTCGAGCCTGACCCGGGCACGTACCGGTCAATACCGCGGCGTGCTGCCACGGCCAGGCTCGTGCGGCCGTCCTCGTCGTCGTCGTCTTGGCCATCTTGGTCGTCACCGTCATCCCCACCCCGCTTTCTTGGCCGCGAGATGCGCTCGGCCAGTGGCCGGCCGCTCCCAACGGCCACGTTGCCATTGTGGCCGCGCCGTCCGCCGGCCGGCACAATCGACAGTCGAATGGGCTGGCCCTTGGCGTTGGCGCCGTCGAACTCGCGGAGGGCCGCGCGGGCGTCGTCGTGTTCGAGGTAGGTGACGTAGGCGGTGCCCTCGGAGCGGCCGGCGCGGTCGTAGACGAGGTCGACGGCGGCGACAGGGCCGATGCGGGAAAAGAGGCCCTCGAGGTCGTCTTTGGTCAGGTCGTAGTGGAGGTTGTCGACGCGGACGCGCGTGCCACGGGTGCTGGACTCGTTAGACAGGGCGCACCAAGGGCGTGAAACAGAAAGAGACGGAACAGAAGAAGAATCCGAAGAAGGGGGCCTACCGCTCTGGCGATGCACGGCTGCGTGACGCCTTGACATGGTGCTCCGAGTCTGTATGTATGTTAGGAGACGCTCGGCAACGTGGGTGGGTGTCAAGACAAAGCAATAGCCGGCTGGCGTATGTTACCATTGTTGTCGTAACGGTCATGGACCCATTCGCTGAGCAAAAGAAGACACAAGGGTTAGTTGTCTGTCCATTACGCATATCAATAACGTCCACCAAAGTGCAGAGCGGCTCTTACTCGTCAATCTTTCTCGGGTCATCGCGGTAGGACTATAGGAGAGGAGGGGAGGGAGGGACAAAAGGTCGGCAGTTTCCAGGTCAGCGGCGCGGTTTCTGTGAAAGGGTTGTTGAGTTCACATTGTGGGCAGTAGTAGCAACCTGGTAGGTTAGCCAGCACTCTGTCATGGCCATCTGCCCGTGTGCCTTTGGGCCATTCCACCGCCCGTCTTGCCTACCTTTCGGACTCCATCGCGCGGGTAGTCGTCGCGCCGGTCGCGGTCACGCCGTCCGCTGCGACCGCCGTTTCTGTCGTTGCGATCGTTGCGATCGTTGCGGCTGCGGTTGCCACGGCGCTCCGACTGGTGGTGTTAGCAAGACAGGGTCGTTGACAGTACACTGTAAACAGAGGCAAAACGTTGCCAGGGCGGTCGGTCGTCCTCTCTCACCTTGCGCTCGGCGAGGATCTCGTCCAGGCTGACGTCCATGTTGGCCGTCATTGTCTGTTTGGGGCAGGTCGAGGCAGGGGTCAATTGGCTGTCTGGGATAGAGGAGGGTAGTGAGAAAGAAAGTACAATGAATAAGAATGGATAGAGACCACCTGTGCAGTTCCTGCAGTCGATGAGGTGGCGGCAGAAGTTGGTGTGGAAAGGCTGCTGATGATGCAAGAAAAGGAAAAGTAAGAGAGAAAAGTTGCGGAGAGGAAGCAAGACAAGACAGCATCACGTTTTCGGGGCGCTTGCCAGGCCCTGTGCAGGACTGCGGAATGGGGGCTGAGAAGCTAGGGAGGCTGTAATTGGCTACAACCGCAGTGCAATTGGGGCAACCCGTGCAGGGGCCGCAGGGCTTATTTAGTGGGATCTGGCCACCTAGGCTGCTGTAGCTTCAGACGATGGGTTGGTTTTACGGAGCTGTTCTATCCCTGGCCGTTCGACCTACTTCGATCAAAGGAGTTTCTTCTTTTTATTCATCCGACCATATGGTCACCTCGTACACATGTGATTCATAGTCACATTCACGTTCACTCTGTAGGGCCACAAAATAATGGACATTTCTTGCATTTTTTAGCTTCCTTTTTTGTAATTCTTCTTCTTCTATGAAACAGAACCCGATGCCGAGACCCAAATGACGCCGTGGATGGTGAAAATACTAGCAAACAAGAAAAAACGGATCGTGAGCGGTTGGAGAGTTGTGCGTGGGACAGGTCGTTTCTTGCTGGCAGAGTAAAAGCGAAGACGGAAGGCATTGCTTTTCGAATTTTCGGCAACGGGGCGGGTTTGTTGTAAAGGGTTGTCGTCTGCAACAAGGAGAGAAGAGAGAAAAGAGGATGAAGGAGGAGAAAAAAAAAGAAAAGAGACTCAAGACAACGAAATGCATTGAATTGAATTTTAAGGGAAACGAAACAAAAAAAGAGCCGAACCGGTCCTTTTTCTTGCACAGAGACAGAGAACACGGCAGAGGAGAAAGAAAACAAATAATTTCTTGGAGAAGCACAAAAGATAGAATAACAAGACAGTAAATCAGTCGATTGGTAAAGGAAATAGGAACCGAGAAAGTGGTAAAAAGAACCAACGTCCCGCGAGAGAGATTGGTCAAAGTCAATGTTTTGGGGCGTACGAGTGTCGATAAAACAGAGGCGGATTGGCAGGAAGAAGGCAAAAACAAAACACCAACGATCATACAAAAGAAGAGTAATAAAAGCACAGCAAATCATGCACCGTCGTTCGCCGTCGTAAGTCGTACGTCGTGTTCAGAGTTTTATGTTCGTCTTCGTCGTCGAGCGTCGTGGCACTGTGCGTGTTGTGTTCGTTGCGTGTTCTTCTTTGTTGTGGCTGTTGGCGGGCTGTGCTGGTTTCTTCTTCTTGGTACTGGAAAATTAACGGACTTTTGGGGTTGTTGTTGGCGGTTGTCGACAAAAAAAGGACGAGACAGAGCAGGAAGCAGAGGAGCAAAGAAAAAGAGGTCAGGGATAACAAGGAAAATGGAACGGGTGGAGGACAAACGATGACACAATCGAAAATGAAGGTAGTAAAAAAAAAGGAAAATCAAACAATTGTTTCTAAATGCTGGGTCCCGTTTTTTTGTCTCCTCCCTCAAGACAGAATGATCATCTCGTTTCTTCCACGCCGGGGATGAAATGGATCTTCTCTTTTGTCTCCTTAGATCAGGTCGGCCACGTTCATCGGCATCTCCTCAATCTGGGTGCTGTAGAACTGCTCGATCTCGCGCATCATGCGGACGTCCTCGGCGGTGACAAAGTTGATGGCAACACCCTTGCGACCGAAACGACCACCACGGCCGATGCGGTGGATGTAGTTCTCACGGTTGGCGGGCAGATCGTAGTTGATGACCAGCGACACCTGCTGGACATCGATACCACGGGCCAGCAGATCCGTGGCAATCAGGACACGGGACGAGCCCGAGCGGAACTCCTTCATGATCAGGTCGCGCTGGGCCTGGTCCATGTCGCCGTGCATGGCCGAGACGGTGAAGTCGCGGGCGGTCAGCTTGTCGGTGAGCCAGTCGACCTTTCTGCGGGTGTTGCAGAAGATGACGGCCTGGGTGATGGTGACGGTCTCGTACAGATCCGAGAGGGTGTCGAGCTTCCACTCCTCCTTCTCGACGGCAATGTAGAACTGCTTGATACCCTCCAGGGTCAGCTCGTCCTTCTTGACCAGGATGCGGACGGGGTCGCGCATGAACTTGGTGGTGACCTCCAGGACGTCCTGGGGCATGGTGGCGGACAGCAGCACGACCTGGGTGGACTGGGGCAGCAGCTGGAAGATGTCGTAGATCTGCTCGGTGAAGCCGCGAGACAGCATCTCGTCGGCCTCGTCGAGGACGAACATCTTCATGGCGTCGGTCTTGAGGAAGCGGCGCTGAATCATGTCGTGGACGCGGCCGGGGGTGCCGACGACGACCTGGGGGCCGTCCTGCAGGGCCTTCATGTCGTCGCGGACGCTGGTGCCGCCGATGCAGGCGTGGCACTCGACGCTCATAAAGTCGCCAATGGCGACGACGACCTTCTGGATCTGCTGGGCCAGCTCACGGTGGGGGCGAGGATCAGGGCCTGGCACTGCTTGATGTTGGGGTCGATCTTCTGCAGAACCGAGATGGAGAAGGTGGCCGTCTTGCCGGTACCCGACTGGGCCTGGGCAATGACATCGTGGCCCTTGATGACGGGCATGATGGCGCGCTGCTGGATAGCAGACGGGCGCTCGAAACCGTAGGCATAGACACCTGGTGCGTTGGTTAGTGCCTTTCTTTGCTTTTCTTTGGCTTTCTTACGGTCGTCCATCGTTATCTCCGTGGAAGATGCAACTTACCACGCAGGAGGTCGGCCTTGAGGTTCATGTCGTCGAACGAGTCCACGGTCTCATCGTAGTTTGACTCGATCTGTCCTATGGTGGGGGGAAAGGAAAGTTAGCGGCCGGTTTTTCAGGTTCTGGTATTATGTTACCGCGGTCATGTCGTCTCTGTTCTCTTTTCCAAAGTCCATCTGTCTCGTCGCCAGATCTGGCCATCCCCCCTTCCCTGGCCCCATTGACCCCCCCACCCCTTTTCCACTGCCGCCGCAGCGTAACCCCCTGCGGGATGATCCTGCGTACGAGCCGAGTGCAAACTGGCGGACATCCAAAACAGGGGCGAGAAGAGAGCAAGAACGGGTATGGCAGGTGACTGTGATCCGCGCAGACAAACAGAGTTCGAAGGATGCGAAGAGAGAGGAGGGGCAGAGGATGAAAACTTACCCTCGGGAACATCCTCGAGTCCCTTGTCGGTAGCCATATTCGCGGTAGGAGGTGCGGAAAATTCTAGATCTCAAGCGCTGCTTGTGATCTAGAAAATGGGAGGCGGGCGGTTGGTTGCAAAAGAAGCGAAGGTTGACGAAGTGAAAGAATGAAAGAATCCAACGGAAGATTGAATCTGTCCTGCGGATTCCAACCGGTTCCTGGTGGAAGCTGTGGTTTTACAAAGGGTACTGTTCAAAGCAGACAAGACTCTCGTAAAGAATGACGAGAGAACTTCAGAAAGAAAAAGAGGAAGCGAATCCTGTTTTTCTTTGCGGGTGGTGATGGTTGGTTGTGGTTTGTGTTTGTGTTTGGATTGATGTTGAAACGTTTTTTTCGGGGAGCAGAATTTTTTCCAGGAGGGCACCGCTTCCATAGAAATAATTTTTTTCTTTGGCATATCGCTCCTGCCCCGAATTTTATTTTAGCATTTAATTTTTTGTGAGAGAAGGCGAGGGAGGGACGAACCAGGCGAAAAAATTGGCTAGCTTCCTTCCCTGACTGGCTGGATTGAGTGAGGGGCGCAGAACGTGAAGGCAGGAGGAGGGGGGCACAATCAGAAGAGTGGCAGGAGCTAGGGACTAGGTGGGGGGGAAGGGGGCGTGGGAGAGAGAAGGAGCGATGAATGGGGCGGATGTCTGCGCGTCGGTACAGCGCGCAAGAGAGCGCAAGGCGAAAAAAAAAAAAAACTCTTTCCCCTCCATCTCTTCACTGCTCAGGACCCACTATAATCGCTGAGATACAAGCAACAATACAGTCCGAGCGAGCGGTTTGAGACGCACATCGACGACGAAACGGACAAACAAACACCGGAACAGTCCACTTCCCTGCTGGAGGCGCGCTGCGCAGTGTGCAGTAGCGGCCCGCTGAGTATCTCGCAGGCGGCCCTCCCACTCTCCCACTCCTGATATGTTGCAGCCTGATGGTCCAAGCTGAGGAAGAGCCCTGTAACTTCCCTGTAAGAGCGCCAAATTACAGGGCTCTACAGCGAGACTAGCCCCAAGTGGCAATATGGAAGAACGGGAAAGAGCACATAGCACAGCAGGGGCACGACGCAGCATCAAGGAAGGCGCAATCCAGAGTCAACAGAGTCACCTTACTATAGTCTAGTATGGCAAGCCTGTGTGGCGTGGGTGACAGGAGACCGGCTGGACGGGGCATTGACAGTTTGCGTTTGCCACGAGACACGCTGTATGCGTACATCCTCTCCAGAGTATCTGGAACATATGCGTCCTCATCAGGCAGCAGCTGCAGAAGGATGCTGGACGAGGATACTGCCCACTCAACGATGACTGTTTTCAGACGATATTTGACCAAACGAGTCACACTGTGCCCCAGTTGAAGAGTCATAGTTGTCAGAGTGTTGACAGATGCTAATGTACGATATGTAGTGCTTAGATTCAACCACTTCTGCAGATTGCAACCATACTGCGCATCCCGTCAATCCCTTCTACGAAGTACTGGAGACGTCGTATTGCACTTTTCTAACCCGTGGATGTTTCGCTAGAAGCAGGTACGCGAATACAAGTATTTGCACGTGACTACACACGGGTCTCTTTGACCGCCTTTTTATGAAAAGTCGGCAGAAAAACGTACATGTGGGGTGGACATCATCGGCACTTGCCTTACACGGCAAAAGCAGCCTTTTCGAGACGATCACGACCATTAACGACTTCGAGCTCGGCAACGACAATCACCGTCAAGGTCAACCTCGGTGCGCTGCACATAATATTACGGGCTGCTTCCGAGTCATAGCACGCCTTTGCTTCCCCATTCGTTAAGACAATGCCCCTCACTGGCGGCCTGGCGCCCCATCTGGGCGATCCAGCAGCCACTCTTGACAGCTTGCAAACCAACGCCTTTGAAAACGACAATGGCCACGGAGGCGCCTCAAGGGGCATTGAACCGGATCTGGGGCTGGTAGAGCACGCAGATGGAGACATTGATACCCCTGTGCCTCCACACCCACTAGGCATCAAACCCCTGGGCAACAAGTACCTGGACAGCGGCATCGACGCCAAAACTGCAGCAGGTGTCTTTCAGGCATTGCCCGACGAGCTGCTGATGCACATGCTTGAGGGCCTAGACATGAGCTCGCTACGTGCGCTGGGCTCGACTTGCCGCTTCCTGTATGCCTTTTGCACATTTGACGAGCTGTGGAAAAGCCTCGCCTTGGAGTAAGTCGCAGGAGCGTTGGGTTCTCCTTGCATAAATACACCGAGTGATCAGCCAGGGACTCACATTATGACAGGATCGATGGATGGACGCCACCCACTTGGCATGGCACCTGGCGCTCGTCACTGTTGTCAGAACGGAGGCACGCCCGACAAGAGCAGGCTGACGCCAAGGACACAACACCGTCGTCTCCGCCACCCCCTGTCTCTGTTGATTGCGGACGTGTTTTTTCCGATGTGCTGCACCGCCCCTTTGTGTGCAGCTACACCAACCCGGCCCAGTTTGCCCGCGGCATCCCGCGGGCGAACCAGATCCGCCGCTTCCACGACCTTGCCTACGACGACTTTGCCGCCTCCTGGAGCGACACGCCGTTTGTGCTGGCGGCCGACCGCTGCGTGCAATCGTGGCCGGTCCTGCGGAGCTGGTCGCTCGATGGACTGCGGCGCGACTATGCCGCAACGGCGTTCCGGGCCGAGTCGGTCGACTGGCCGTACGCGCTGTACGACCAGTACATGCGGCGGACCACCGACGAGAGCCCGCTCTACCTCTTTGACAAGAAGTTTGCCGAAAAGATGGACCTGACGGTCGACGCCAGAGCTGTCGGCGCCGCCAGCACCGCCACGGACAAGAGCGCGTCTGCCTACTGGAAGCCCGCCTGCTTTGGCCGCGACCTGTTCGAGGTCCTCGGCCCCCAGCGGCCCGCCCACCGCTGGCTCATTGTGGGGCCCGCGCGCAGCGGCTCCACGTTCCACAAGGACCCCAACGGCACCAGCGCTTGGAACGCCGTCGTGCGCGGCGCCAAGTACTGGATCCTCTTTCCGCCCGGCGCGGCGGTACCCGGCGTCTACGTGTCGGCCGACAAGAGCGAGGTCACGAGCCCGCTCAGCATTGCCGAGTGGCTGCTGACGTTCCACGCCGAGGCCCGGGCGACGCCGGGCTGCATCGAGGGTGTCTGCCGCGCGGGCGAGATCCTGCACGTGCCGAGCGGCTGGTGGCACCTCGTGGTCAACCTCGAGGCAGGCATTGCGCTGACGCAAAATTTTGTGCCGCGGGCCCACCTGGCCCAAGTGCTGCTGTTTCTGCGGGACCGGCCCGAGCAGGTGACTGGATTTGCCCGGGGCCAGGGCGGCCAGGGCGGCCACGGTGCAGCGGGGAGCGGTTGTGAGGATGGCGTGGACGACCCCTACGGATTGTTTGTGGAGCGGCTGGCAGAGCAGTGCCCGGACCTGCTCGCAGAAGCACAGGCTGAGATGGCACGGCGAGACGCCCGGAAGAAGCGGACATGGGAGTCGGTTGTGCGCGGCGACAACGATACCAAGAAGCAAGCGGATGGAGATGCCGATGACGAGAAGCGGCAAAAGACAGGAGAGAGCGGCAGCGGAGACGGTGGATTTACGTTTGGATTTGGCGGAGCCGACGACGACCTGGAGGAAGAGATTCCCTGACTGTGAGAACGCAGCCTTTTGCCTACTAATGAGAACACGACATAGACAAATAGACATCAACAAACTGTACATTCATATTTGACGTCGACGATTTGTTCTTCTTAGTGCTTAGAGACGTACAAGCCCCGGCAAAACATTGGACGTGCCGGTTAAAGACTTGCGAGTAAGTCTGTCGGATGGCAGTCAAATTCCACGTCTATTCCAATGGGCTGTGGCACAGTCTTGTGCCTGGCACGATCAGGCCGATAAATACCGAGAGATGTAAGGTGCAATTGCTTCCCGTGTCGATTAGGACGCGGAACATTTTATACGGACGGGTACCTGTCCTTTAACCCGCAGTCTATATACCCTCCACCGCCTTATGTCGGCGAGATCATGATTTTGTGTCGTTGCCAATGGTCTCTTTAAATTGCCTCTTTTTCCAGCCCGACGAACAACCCGCTCCAATTTACGAGAAGCATGCAGGAACGTGACATGAACAAATAGCCTCAACATGAAAACCATGTTCTCCTCACTTTGAAAGATGAGGATGCTGCCTCGCAGTCGGAGTGGCGGAATTTTTTTTTTTTCTTTCTATTTTTCTTCTCCTTTCTCTTTGATTAAATAATCGTTCGTCTTCCCCGTGCAGCTCGTGTTGTGCAAGCAAGACACAACGAACAAACGAAACGCCGAAATGTCACAATCGTCGCTGACGCCTTCCCTGCGCAAGGTTCTCGCCTTTGGCGCCGGATTTCTGTCCGCCGTCGCAGTGGCCTACCCGCACAACGGCCGCCCGAACCGCTGGCGCCACCTGAACCAGGCCCGCGACATTGCTTCCGAGTACGACTATGTCATTGTCGGCGGCGGCACGGCCGGCCTCACCGTCGCGGACCGGCTGACCGAGGACGCCAACACCACTGTGCTCGTCATCGAATACGGCGCTCTCAGCGACTCGCCCTTGATCAGCACCGTGCAGGGCGGCTTCCGCGGAATGGATGCGCAGTTCCTGTACGACATCCAGTCGGTGCCGCAGGTGAACCTCAGGAACCGCTCGACGGGCGTGATGGCCGGAAAAGTGGTGGGCGGCAGCTCGGCGGTCAATGCGATGATGACGGTGCGCGGGGCGGCCGAGGACTACGACCGATGGGGCTCCTTTTTCGACGGAAGCAATGCCAGCGGCAGAGGAGGGTGGAGCGCGGAGCTGCTCCAGAACTACTTTCACAAAGCGCTGAATTTTGTGCCGCCACTGCCCGACGTGGCCAAAGCGGCGGGCATCGCTTACGACACCGCGTACTGGGGCAACACGTCGAGCGTCTATGTTGGTTGGCCGTCGTTTCAGTTCCCGGGCACGACCGTGCAGTTTGACGCGTTTCGCAGCATGCCGGGCGTCGATTTCCCCGTGGACAGCGGCGCGGGCCATCCGGGCGTGTACTGGTTCCCGTCCTTCATGGATCCGCACAAGGTGACGCGGTCGTATGCCCGGACGGGCCACCACGACCGGGCGGTGGTGCGCAGCAACTACCACCTGCTGACGCGCACCAAGGTCGACCACATCGTGCTGGAGACCAACCCCGACCAGCCCCTGAACGACGCCAAAGCCACAGGTGTGCGGTTCATCGTCAACGCGACGACGGCCACAGGACCTGTGTCCGGCCGGAACGCCACAGTACGGGAACGGCCTACGCAGTTTGTGAAAGCGCGCCGCGAGGTCATCTTGGCTGCCGGCGGCATCCACAGTCCGCAGATTCTGCAGCTGAGCGGGATTGGACCGAAACCCTTGCTGGATGCCGCCAACATCACGACGATTGTCGACTTGCCGGGTGTCGGCCAGAACTTCCAGGACCACCCCATGCTGACGGCGTCGTTTTCGCTGTCCAACTACTCGTCCGTGCAGCCCTCCGCCGCGGACCTGTTTCTCAATGCCACGTTCCGCGCCTGGTCGGACGCCGAATGGAAAGCCAATCGGACGGGCCCGCAGTCGCTCGGCGTCGGCAACGCGGCCGCGTGGCTGCCGTTCCCCGTCATCTCGGAGCGCTGGGCGGACGTGGCAGCCAACTTGTCGAGCCAAGACCACGCCGCCTACTTGCCGCCGAACACGCACGCAACGGTAGCCCAGGGCTACAAGAAGCAGATGGACGCGTACGCGCTGGCCCTCAAGAACAACCGCACGGCGTTTTACAACAATGTGCTGTCCGGGGGACCGTCGTCCGGCGTGCTCGTGATGCTACACCCGCTGAGTCGTGGCACCGTCAACATTGACCCTGTCGATCCGTACAACCGCGAGCCGGTCGTCGACTACCGGGCGCTGTCGAACCCGCTGGACGTGGCGATCATGGCAGACATGATCCGGTACACGCGGCGCTATTTCATGGAGAATCCGGCGCTGGCGCAGTACCGCCCCGTAGAAATTGCGCCGGGCGACTATGTCAGCAGCGAGGAAGACCTGGCAACGTATCTGTCGGAGACTGTCTCGCCGACCGAGTACCATCCGGCGGGCACGTGTGCGATGCTCCCCCAGTCGCTGGGTGGCGTGGTGGACCAATATCTGAAAGTGTACGGCGTGCCGAATCTCCGCGTCATCGACGCGAGCATCATCCCAACGCTGCCGGGCGCCAATACTTGCCAGACTGTGTATGCCGTGGCCGAGTTGGTAAGTCGAGATTTGTCGGTCTGGATTTTGCTCTTGTGCTCGATGGTGTTCTTGTTGGAGCCCTTGTTGCTAACTGTTTGCAGGCTGCCGATCTCATCAAAGGCCATCAACTGTGGTAAAATGATACGACATGAGGTGGGGAGAAGGAAAAAATGTTGACAGATTTTGAGAAATTGAAACAAAAACACATCCTGCCCAGAACATAACGAACGCCTAGGTCCCAAACTCCTCACATAACCTAGATAAATTGGAAGTAAAACGAAAAACAAAAAAATAAATAAGTTTAGGTAAAAAAGAGACGATTGGGGCAAGATGCAAATGGCGCAAGGCATATACATCACTTCCCTGCCTGTCCGCGTCCGGGCGCTGCCTCAAAGGCGGCCCGCCACTTGTCCTCCTGGCGGAACATGACAATGGTCTCGAGCGGCGTGGGCGAGCCGAACTCGGGGTCGGCACCGCCTTCGAGCAGAGCCTCAATCACGGCATCCTCGGCCTTGAAGACGGCGCCGGCCAGCGGGCTCTGGCCCTTGTCGTTGAGGCGGTTCGGGTCGGCGCCGTGGTGGAGCAGCAGACGCACGAGATTGGCGTGGCCGTAGTAGGCAGCGAGCATGAGCAGACTGTCGCCCTTTTCGTTGGCCAAGTTGGCGGGCAGACCGGCGGGCAGGGCCTGCTGGAAGAGGGCGAGGTCGCCGGCACGGGCGCCGTTGTAGAGGCGGGAGGCGAGTGCAATGGCTTCATCTGGAAGGCCTTGTGGTTGTTGTTGTTGTGGTTGGTGCTGCTGTTGCTGCTGCTGCTGTTCTTGCTCCTGCTCCCCATGCTGCGTTTGCTGCTTTGTGTCGGACATTGTGGTGCGTGGGCAAGTGTCTGTGCTTAAAGACGAGAAGTGTGTTGACGATGTGAAAAGAGAAGATGACAAAATAAAAAGAAAACAAAAGACTCCTTATAGCGTCGTACGACGACGTTGATATACGGAAGGCGCGACAGAAGCGCAGACGGCACGCGAGACACGGCAGGTGCGAGTCAGTAAGCGGCTGCGCGATGACGCAAATGGGCAGGAACGCTTTTCGCATGGACGGAAGGAGCGGTTGTCAGACACAGAGCAAATGTACAACGGTGTTTTGGCAAGAAAATGCGCGAGGCACATACGCTGACCCGATGGTAAGACACGAAAGTTAATTGTAAACCCAACCCTCTTTGCAACTCTTTCTTGCATTTAGCAATCCTGTCGACGGCGTGTGCATTTCTTTCAACAGCATATTAATACTGTTTTAGGAAGTCGCTCTCCCGCCCGTCGTCAGCCATTAGCGCCTGCCGAACCTGCGCACAGCCATTTTCTTATTTTACAGGGGCCCACTTCCCCGGACGGAAAGCCGAAGACAGCCGTCGCCCGCCATAGCTCGGCGTTTCGTGCGACGCTTTCTCGTGGGCTTTTTAACCTCCTCCTCTCAGCTTCATCTTTGTCTGCGGCACCACGACGCAGCACATCCCGACGCAACACCGATTGGCCGTTGACACGCTTCCCTTTTCGTGTCTTTCGTTTCCCACACTTCTCCCCCAATGGCCCCCATTCGCCTGGCCGCTGCGTCTCTGACGCGGGCTGCTTCGATCGTCCGTTCGCCTCTGCGCACGTCTCGTCGGACGTCTCTGGCCGCCCCTGCGGCCCCTGCGCTGCTCTGGTCGGCGCCCCGGTTCTCCTCGACCTCGTCTGACCCCCTGATCGTCGTCACCGACCTGCCCGCCCCCGGCTCCGGCCACATCCGCATCCTCGAGCTCAACCGCCCTGCCGCGCGCAACGCCATCTCCAAGGCGCTGCTGGCCGCCCTGCGCGAGCAGGTCGACGACGTGGCGCAGCAGTACGACGACGCCGGCCGGGAGGTGACGGGCGTCATCGACGCCAAGAGCCTGGGCCCGACGCGCGCGCTCGTGCTCGCCAGCGCGGTGGACAGCTGCTTCTGTGCGGGCGCGGACCTCAAGGAGCGCAAGACGTTTACGGCCGAGGACACGGCGCGCTTTCTGGGCAGCCTGCGCGGCACGCTGACGGCGCTGCAGGCGCTGCCGATCCCGACCATCGCGGCGGTGTCGTCGCTGGCGCTGGGCGGCGGGCTGGAGCTGGCGCTGGCGACGCACATGCGCGTGCTGACGTCCAACGCGGTGGTGGCCCTGCCGGAGACGCGGCTGGGCATCATCCCCGGCGCGGGCGGCACCTATAGGCTGCCGATGCTGATTGGCATGGCCCGCGCGCGCGACCTGGTGCTGACGGGCCGGCGCGTGTCGGCGCCCGAGGCGTATTTTTTGGGCATTGCCGACCGCCTGGTGGAGGTGATTCCAGAGCCGCCGGCCGAGGAAAAGGAGCAGTCCGAGCAGACCGAGGAGGACAAGCAAAAGGCACAGCTGGACCTGCTCGACACGGCGCGGCGGGCGGCGCTGAGCGAGGCGGTGCGGCTGGCCGAGGAGATTTGCGAGGGCGGCCCGATTGCCATCCGGGCGGCGCTGCAGGCGGTGCAGTTCCCGGCAGAGACGGTGGAGAACAAGATGTACGAGCGGGTGGTGGCGACGGAGGACCGCAACGAAGCGCTCAAGGCCTTTGGCGAGAAGCGGCGGCCCGAGTTCAAGGGGCGCTGAGCGGAAAAGGACAAAAGGACAGTAAGGCAAGCCGAAAGAAAGTAACGAGGCGGTTGGACATCTTCCGGACGTGTTTTTAGACGAAAACATTACGATTGAACACGCAAATACAACAACAAAATTGTGTGCCTACAATGCATGCAGGAGGACGAGTGTCGTGGTGTACGTGGCGGAAGCACGCAGCTCCTGGCCAGCCGAAGCTGTTGGTGCTGTTGGTTCTACGTCCTGGAGCAAGGGAGACGACGGGTTTGGGTCGACGGCTGTGTTCATTTATGAGTTGACAATGGCCAATCTGCAGTCCATACGAGTAGTATACACCCTTTTCACTTTTTTCTCTCTTCTCTCTCTATCGGCTGTGTTCTTTTTTTGTTCTTTTATGTTTCTTTTTTGTCCTGTTTATTTTCTTTCGATTGCTCCAGGCACGAAGGCCTCGGTTGTTGTTTTGGCCGTAGTCTTCATTTGGCAAACACGGCCTGCCTCCCTATTGTTTCTTTGTTAATCCCCCTTGGACAACGGAACGGTTGGTTGTCCTAAAGCGTCCAGACGGCGGACCACATATGGCCGCAGCCAGTATGTCGTACATCCCATTCTTTCTCGTCCCTGTCCACCAACTGGTCTCCCTTTGCGGCTGTTTTGTCTGCCTCAGCTCTCCCCAACTCTCCTCAACTATGCCTTTTCCCTCTTACGGCGTCCTGGACAGCGCATTGTACCAATATGAATTCAGATTTTGTGAACAACTAAATACAACTATGAATATAGTCTTCAGATCCGGGCTGAAGATAGTCTGTGCTGCTGTAGACGCACTGTCGACGGAAGGTAAGATTAAAAGGGGTCTTCATGGACGAGTTTTGATCTGTTGCATCTCACGCCATACAGGCATCATCTTGCGTTACATGCAGGTTGGTTGTGACTCTGCTCGTTCCCTAGTTACGTTTCCCTAGTTTCTATTTGTACAAGATCGACGGCATGGCCACAATGGACAAGGACACAAAGCAAGACGCAGATCCTGCTGTCGACACGGCCACGACAGGCGCCAACCTCTCAGCGACGCCCGTGACGCCCGTGACGCCCGTGGCGGCCAAGCCGGTCCTGGCGACGCTGGATACGGCGATGACGGCGCCCAAGAGCACATCTACGCATCGTCATCAACCGAGACGCATCTCGGACGTCGCCTCTCCGTTTGCAGTGTCGCCCGCATCGCCTCGCTCGCTCGAGCACATCCAAGCCGAGCACCAGTACCTGTGCAACAACCTGCACTGCCAGGACGCGCGCATCCGCTCTCTGCTGGGCGCGCTGTTGGCCGTCCAGGCGCAGCTCCAGACCCACGAAACGGCCAAGGCCAAGGCCAGCGCCGCGGCCAGCGACGCGTCCAGCAACGATCATCCCTTGCCGCTGACGACGGCCGCGGCACGGAAGCTGCGCAAGAGCGCCGGCTTCATCCAGAGCAAGATTGCCGCGGCTGAGCGCCAGGAGCAGCTGCTGGTGCTGCGGATCGGGGAGGTCACGGCGGAGCTGCAGGGACGGCAGTGGCTGGCGCAGCTGCAGCAGCAGCGGCAGCAGCGACAGCAGGAATTTGGCCGGGCTGGGCAGCTGGCCGTTGGGTCGGTCGTCGGGCCGGCCGTTGCGCGCCACGGCTACGTCCCTCTCGAGGTCCCCCAGACACCATACCGGACGCCGGACCAGGCGTATTTTGACGCTGGCCACCCGCCGTTTGCATTTCAGCAGGACAGCCGTCCCACGACGACCACAGACATTGTTCTGCCGCCCGCATTCGTGGTCAGCCCTGTGACGCCCGGGATCCATGCGACCATGCCGGCCTACCCGGTGTTGTCCTCTCCTGCATCGGCGACGGGCGGTGGCCACGGTGACCATGCCTGCATGTCGCCCATGAGTCCGCTGGCGCCTGTCTTTGAGCCCGGTTCATTCTCGTTTGGGTCGACGTCGCTTGTTTCGCCGATGGCTCCGCCGTCCGAGGGTGACCATCGCCTTGCCTCGGCTGCCACGCCAATGGCCGAGTCTCCGCCGTCGTCACCGCCGTCGGCTGCCCAAATGCACAGTCAAGCGCTGAATCACATCGGCGTGCAGAATGCGAATGAAGACACAGTTGTTGGCGACGGCGATGCGGACGTCTCGGACACGGCCTCTCTGCCGCCTGAGGTACGTCCACGCCGTGGATTGCACAGTCCTGACCGGCTGACGCCGGACAAGCAGAAGCGGAGGAGTTTGCCGCCGGTTTGGTCGGTATGGCCTGACGAGGAGAGATGAGGTTGCATCGGTGTTTATTTGATTCGTGCTGTTAATTGCTAATTGATAATCAGTTTGACTCTTGTGCATTCTCTGTTGTTAGCTGCTGCATGTATCATCGCATAAAACGGGAAGAAATTGCATAACAAAGGCATGCTATTCATTCGGCAACATTTTTTCCAAATATGAATAAATAAAAAAGCCTCCAAAAACACGAAAATAAAAGCAAAGACGATATGTGATTAGGCGAGGGCACGAGGGCCTCTGTCATGTGCAAACGTCAGATATAAACAAAACTCGTTCTTTCCGGCCCTCCGCACTCTAAGCAAACTCGCCAAACTGTCCGTCGTCAAAGCCCAGCTCGGCCGCCGACTTCTTTTGCTCGTCCGGCTGCGGCCGAGACGCCAGACCCAGCACGCTCGGATCGCCGACCGACCGACGGTTGGCCGTCCGGCGGTTTGGCGGCGGCGGCGGGGGCAGCGAAAAGGGCGACGAGGATGACGAGGAAGACGAGGGCGGTGGCGGCAGGGAGAAGCCGCCGAGGCCGCCGCTTGCTGATGATGATGACAAGGCCGACGATGTCGTCTCGCTCCGGCGGCCAAACTTGCTCGACCCGCCGAGGTTGATGGTGATTGTCTCGCCGTCCTTGAGGCTGTAGTCTTTCTTGTCCGCGGCCGCGGCAGACGCAGCCCCGGCGGCCGCCCCTTGTGCCGATGCCGTGGCCGACGGCCGGGCCGCCGTGGCCCCCGCCGGCTCGGCGAAGCCGCGGACGGTCTTGCGAGCTTCCTGCAGGGCGACGCCGAAATCAAAGGCGTCTGGCCGCTCTTCAAAGCCAATGCCCAGCACGGCGCGGCGGCCCTGGCCGTCCTGCACGCGCACGGCAAAGAAACGCGAGCTGTCGAGGGCGGGCTCGACGACGCCGGGCTCCGTGTAGGGCGCGGCCGCGAACAGCTGGCCATTCGACGGGTCTTCGAGGATGACGTCGACCTTGACGTCTTCCGCGGACGCGGCCTCCTCGTCGTCGTCCTCTCGGTCGATCCCCGTCTCCAGCACCCGCAGCCGGGCGGTAAAGATGTGCCGCTTGGGGTCCTCGGTCCAGGTGGCGGCCGTGTAGCCCTTGGTCGACGTCAGCGGCGGGATCTGGTAGACGTGGACTTTGGGGCCGATGAAGAGGACGCGCTGGATGGCGTTGGCCGGCAGCGGCTGGCCGGTGGTTGGGTCGACGGCCGACATGATGTGTTGTGTGGAGTACAGGCGGAGTACAGGCGGTGTACAGGCGGTATACAGGCGGTGAAGGGAAAGAAAAGGCGCCGATGAGGTGACAAACTCGACTTTGGTGATGTTGATGTTGACTTGCGGTCCAGTGGATGAGGCCGACGGCGACCGGTCTAACGCTTTTCCTACGCGAAGACAGATTGGTTGTCGAGTCCAGGAACCGTGCTGCGTCCCAGGATTCCCATTCGGCTGCCTGTTGGTCGAGGTTGCCAAGGTTGCAGCGACGTAATACGCTTTAGTGACGGCGAGGCGCAGAGGATGCGACGTCGTAAAGGTGGGATGCAGTGAGCTTCAGGGGACCTGCCGGAGCTACAGCTGCCGTCGCCCCTCACAGCGGAGCTCCTGCTACCAGGGGCCCTTTCGGTTTGGTTGGCCGCCCTCCACAGGGCATTACCCCTCTAACATTTGGGCGGTGAACCGCGGCAGAATGCGAATCATGCCCTCGACCGCACCTTCCCCAGCAGGGCGCATCTGCAGACTGACTCACCCAGTTCGTTTTTGCTTTTCCGGCAGCTTCCCGATGCGGCAACCGCACCTCATCCGCTTGCACTATCTCGACTTCACTTCCATTTGAACGGCATCTGCGTCTTTTTCGGCATCCAAACCACCCACAGCCACCTCTGTATGCTACCGTCCGTGCGACATCTCGCCGCGCTACCTCCATTCTCGATCCGCTTCTTCGTCGCCCACTTCGGTGTTCGCACAATGGCCGCCTCCGACGCGGCCGCACCAGCGCCAGCTGCCGAGACAGAAAAGTCGTCGACGACGACAACAACAACGGCCTCGACATCAAACGCAGCATCCCAGCCAGAGGCCGGCCCTGGCGACACCTACGATGTCGTCGCCACCTACCACCGCCTGCTCGCCGAGGACGCGGACCTCACCAAGCCCATTGCCGCCATCGAGGCCCTCATCGACGTGCTGCGCCAGACGACGTCGTCGACGGCCATGGAGACGTACGAAATCGCCAGCGCCCAGGTCAAGCGGCTGCTGGCCGCCGTGCCCAACGCGCTGCCGCTCGAGGCCGGCACCAGCCTGTTTACCAATTTCCTGAGCATGTCGATGCGCCAGCCGGCGGTCGACGACGCCGCGGCGCGCTCCGTCACGGCCGGTCTCGACAGCTTCGACAAGCTGCGCCAGCACCTGCTCGACAACAGCCAGCTCTTTGTGCAGCGCGCCAAGGAGGCCCGCGACCAGATTGCCGAGCGCGGCTGCCGCCTGGTGCGCGAGGGCGACGTCGTCCTGACGGCCGGCGGCTCGCGGGCGGTCCTGGCCTTGTTTTTGAAGGCGGCCGAGCGCCTGACGTTGGGGGCCGCCGGCGCCGAACGGGACGCCCCCTTCTCTGTGCTCTACGTCTGCGACGAGCGCTCCCGCGACGAGGCGCAGCGCGCCATGGCCCGCCTGCGCGCGCACCGCATCCCCGTCTTCGAGGTCGACTACGGCAGCGTCGGCTATGCCATCGAGGCCCACGGCGTGCGCTCCGTCTTTGTCGGCGCCGAGGCCGTCACCCACGACGGCAAGCTGGTCTCGCGCATCGGCACCTACCCGCTGGCCGTCCTGGCCGCCGCCGCCCGCCCCGCCTGCAACGTCTACTGCCTCGCCGAGACGCACAAGTTTGTCCACAAGCTGCTCATCAACAACAAGCACCTCAACCGCATCGGCATCGTGCAGGACATCCTCCCGCGGCCCGTGCCCACGCGCGCCGGCGTGCCCGTCACCACCAAGCCGCCCATGCCCTACAACGAGCAGGTCGATGTGACTGTGAGTAGATATTCATAGTATTCTTTTTTGACTTCCGTTGCCCCTGGGTTCCATGCCGACCCCCTCAACCTTCCACGTCCTCGTACTGACAGTACAGCCCCCCACGCTCGTGACAAACTTTGTGACAGAAAACGGCATCATCGAGACCTCGGGCGCCTACCGGATCGTGTCATATTAAGGCGGCGGACGGGTGACGTGCCCTTTTGGCTTTTGTTTTGGTTCGCGTATCGTATGATTCCCTTTTTCAGACGGCGTTGTTAGGTTGGCAAAATACTGGCAAAATCCTGGACGATTTTTTCACACATGGGCAATCATATAGAGTGTTTTTAGCAACAGAGTTCATTACCAGCATCGTACATGTCCCGACGCCACGTTCTAGTTTTAAAGGTCTTGTTTTGCATCTCCGATCCCCTCGACCCTACACCACCCGCCGCACCATGCCGCGTGCCCGCCGCCGCTCGTCTTCGCTCAGCAGCCAGACCATGCCGTCGTCGTTCTCGTCGTCCTCGCCCTCGCCGGCGCCGCCTGCCACGCCGCCCAGCTCCTCCCACTCGTCGTCCTCCATGTTGGCCACCATCAAAATCTGCGTCGTCTTGGCAAACAGCTCGCGCGCCCCGTAGTTACTGCTGCCGCGCGCCACGGCGCCGACAATGCCGTTGATGTCGCGCTCGAGGCGGATGGCGCCGTACGCGCTCGTGCGGCGTTTTTCACCGCGTTCCGCCCGGTCGCCCCGGTCGCCCCGGTCCGACGCGTACGTCCATACACGGCGCTCCAGGGCCTTGGCCAGGTAGCGCGCCGCCAGGTCGGCCGCGAGCGCAAACGTGCGGGGCGTCATGATGCGCGCCAGCGGCCGCATCAGGCCGTCCCAGCCGTGCTCGAAGCGGCGGCTGACGTGCTCCAGGACAACGTCGAGGTCCGCGTCGTTGGCTTCGGCCACGTCCGCCAGCTCCTGCTCGTCCAAGCTGTAGTCGACGTCGCGGAACGCGTCCGACACAATCGTATGCAGGCGCGGCTTGATGTGATTGGCAAACAGCACCTGGATGCCCTCGTTTTGCAGCTCGACCGCCTTGGTCGTAAAGTTGATAAACAGGTTGGCGAGCGCGGCGGCCACGAGCGAGACATCGTGGTCAAAGGGCGAGAACGTGTCGCGCAGGTGCGCCACGACAGCGGGCGCCGTGGCACTGGGGATGCGCTGGGCCCGCTGGCCCTCTTTGGCGTTGGCCGGTGCGGACGAGGAGGATTCGTCGACCGGCACGCCCATGCGTGTGGACACGATGCGTGCCAGGTACTCCATGGCCATGTCCAGCGAGTTGATGAGCAGGATAAAGGCAATGACGCGGTCGTCGGGCGGCAGGCCGCCCGACGCCGTGGGCCGTGGGTACGCCTCGTGGATCATCTTGCGCTGGATCATGCCGATAAAATCCGATCCCAGCACGCGCCCCACGGGAGGGATGACGCCGACGACGACGTCGCGCTGCAGCGTCGACATGCACTTTTGGATCACGGCGTTAACAATGTACATGACGTCGTCGACGGCGGAGATAATGTACGGCGGGTTGTTGTCGAGCGCGTCGGCCATGTTGAGCGACAGGTCACCCGGCGTCTCCTCGAGCTGGAAGGCCTTTTCGACGGAGCGGCGGAAGAAAAAGGTGCTCATCAGACTGTAGGGCGTGATGAGCCGTGCGGCTACCTTGCGCTGCAGGTTGGACTGGGCCAGGACGCTGGGGATGACCAGGGGCCGTTCGTCTGGTGTTGCTGCCGTGGCCCGTTCGGTACTGCTGTCCTTGCTGTCCTGGCCATCCTGGCCGTCCTTGCCGCTCTTTTCCTTCTTCGTATCCTTGGCGTCTGCCTCGGCCTGCGCTGCCGCCTCTGCCTCGTCGTCGCGGCACTTGTTGGCCAGGAACCGCGAGTAGAGCGACCAGCGGCTCAGCATAATCGCAATCTCATTCAGCAAGCCGTCAATCTCGCGCATGTTGACGCCTCCCTCGTCCTCGCTGCGACGCGGGCTATCGACGCCCAAGGCGGGCGAGTTGACGCGCGACGCGCCGTCGCCGCCGCCGCCGCCGCCTGCGTTGCTGTTGCTACTGCTGCCGCCCGCCCCCTTCATGCCAAAGCTCTGCACCAAGAACGAAAACGGGTAACTCTTGACGTCAGTCAGCTTGCGGTCGACGCCGCGCTCGTCGCTCCAGGCGTCCACGACAATGCCGCCCTGCACGTCCGCCTCCTTTTGCAGCCGGCTGATGACCTTGATCATCTGGCCGCCGCCATAGTGCCGCTCCACCAAGGCACCGTGGCCCTCGACAATCTGCGAGATGTGCGTAAACAGCTTGGCCAGCGCGTTGGCGAAGAAGAAGCCGTCGTGGCGGCTGGCTGCCGCCGGCACGGCTGCTGGCTGGGGCGTCTCGCCCCGAAATACGTTCCGCGCCGACTCGGCCACGCCCTGGCACACGTACCGCCCGTAGACATCGAGGCCGACGTCGGTGCGTCCAATCAGCGGGAACAGCTTGAAGAAGCGCGTCACGCGTGCGTCGTCGCCATCCTGCGCGGCCCGCTCGAATTCGCGCAGGAACAGCCCGCACAGACTGGCCCGCGCCTCTTCGAGCGTCACGGCCGGCGGGTCGGGCACCTCGACCGTGGGCACGACGGCGTTGGCAAAGCCAGACGTCACGATGCTCTCGGGGATGCGGCTCGCCCGGGCCAGGTACGCCGCCGCAGCCTCCCAGTCCTGCGGCGCGCCCATCGACCCAACGACGCCGGCCACACACGCCTTGAGCTCGGCCACCTGCTCGACGACCCGCAGCGTGGCCTCGACGTGCTCCTTTTCCAGGTCCAGGTTGCGCACCGTCGACGACAGCCGGCCCGCCGTGTCGGCGGCACCGGAGAGCATGGTCGTGGCGATGCTGCGCGTGGCAATGACCTGCGCGCCGAGCGTGGCCCGTAGACTGTCGAGGCGCATCAGGTCGCGGCTGAGGTCCGCGTGGGCGGCGACCAGCCCCTGGAGGGAGTGGCGGAGGCTGTCTTCGCGTGTGTGCAGGCCGACGAGGGCAGACCGGACATCGGCCGCCGACGTGGCCGATTCGAGGGAGGAGGTCAATGAGGAGGAGGAGGAGTGTGCTGTCGAGGACGTTCCATTGTGCTGTGAGCGTGAAGGATCGCCGTTCCGCAGGGCCAGCTTCGACACGCTGACCCGTCTCTGGTGCGTCGCAGAGCTTCCGCTGCGACTCCGGCCACCGGCACTGCTGCCGCCGCCGGCGTGGCTCGTGTTCTTCATCGTCCACCTCGTGCAGCCACCATCAGGAGAGAGGGGGCAGTGGGCTGTGGCGGCGTTGGGGCGGTTCCAGCTGGTGTGAAGTGTGTCGTATCGTCGAATTGGGCTTGAAGTGCCGCCTGCCGACCGTTGGCGTCGTGGTCGTGGATATGGTGTCGCTGTGGCCGCCGTGTCTTGAAGTTGTTGCAGTCTAGAATGTATTTGGCTGTGGCCCCGCCTTAATTCCATTACGTGGCGCTGTGAGCTGTGGGTAGGGGTTATGGGCATCGTGCGCTACAGCTCGCTAGCTCGGTGTATTGTGTAGCATGTGCGGGAGTGCTGGCTTGGTGGTATTGGATAGTCGTCTAGCGGTCAAGAAACTCCAAGTTCGTGAGCCTCCGTTGTTTATTTTGAGATGCACTCTTCCTTACTCTTCCCACTCTTCTTTCCTCAGTAGTTTTTAGTTACTCGCGATATGGAAGGAACAGGTTGGCAAATACGTTGTCCACAGAAGGAGCGGACTTAGACGGACTTGGGAAGGAACAACTCGCGCTAAATTTCAAAGTTCAAACAATATGGGCAAGCACCAAGATTCAAAGACGGCAAGTGCGAATGCTGCATAATGCAGAGCATGATACTCCTTATAAGTAGCCCATGGATATACCAAAGTGGTAAGAATTAGACAAAAATACAAAGAAAATAAAGGTACAAGAAGCCAGAAAGAGAGACACAAAAATTAGACAAACATCCACACTCCTAGCAAATGCTTTTTTTATCCCGTAATGTAATTATATGTGCGACGTCCCGTCTTCCTTCTACATGCCGGACTTCAGTCGTTTTATGCTCCCCAAAATATACCACTGTCTAGTTCTTGGTTATGGTATGCACACCGCAGTACGCCCAACATTACACAGCCTGTGAAAAGAGCGTGCCGTACCGCTTGTGCCGCCCGTACCGGTACCACTTGCGCAGCTCGTCCGCCCAGAAGACGGTGCTGCAGAGGAGCACCAGCTTGAACAGGTCGCCCAGGCCCAGCGACTCCGTCTGGAAGACCTCCTGGAGCCAGGGAAAGTAAATGACCAGCAGCTGGCCCGCCAGGCTCAGCGACACCGCCCAGTTGAAGAGCGCGTTGGTGAACAGGCCGACCTCGCCGCGCAGCACCGACTTGGACTCGGAGCGGCACGTCAGCGCGTTGAACATGTCAAACAGCACAAAGCACGTAAAGGTCATCGTGGTGTCGCGGCGCGTGACGACGGCGCCGTCCTCCATCTCGTGCTTGTACACGAGCATCGTACCGACCATGATGATGAACGCCGACTGCGCCACGCGGCGGATCAGCGCGCGCGTCAGCACGGGGTCGTTGCGCTTGCGCGGCGGGCGCTTCATGACGTCGCGGTCCACGGCCTCGACGCCGAGCGACTGCGCCGGCGGGCCATCCATGATGATGTCTGTTGGTGTTAGTCACAATTCGTTGCCAGGTTACTTGGGTCGCTCGGGGTGTGGGACTCACTGATCCAGAGAATCTGCATGGCGTTGAGCGGCGACTTGAAGCCGAGGCAGGTGCACAGCAGCACCAGCGACAGGCCCGCCGCGCTCGTGCTCAGCTGGAACGTCAAGAAGTTTTGGATGTTGTTGAAGATGCCCTTGCCCTCCTCGATCGCATGCAGAATCGTCGAGAAGTCGTCATCGGTCAAGATCATGTCGGCTGCCTCCTTGGCCACGTCGGTGCCGTGGCGGCCCATGGCAATACCAATGTCCGCCTTCTTGAGCGCCGGCGCGTCGTTGACGCCGTCGCCCGTCATCGCCACAATGTCGCCCCGCGCCTGCAGCGCCCGGATGATCTTCATCTTGTGGTCCGGGTTCGTCCGTGCAAAGATGGTCGTCTGCTGCATCGCCTGCGCCAGGTCCTCTTCGGAGAGCGCCTCGACGTCCTCGCCGCGCAGCACGGGGTGCACGGCCACCTGGTTCGCGGCGTGCTCCACCGGTCGGGCAATCGACATGCCCAGCTGGTGGCCGATGGCCAGCGCCGTCGTCTCCGCGTCGCCCGTAATCATAATCACCTTGACGCCGCCTCGCATCAGCTTGCGGATGGACCGGCCCACGCCCGGCCGCGGTGGATCGCTCATGCCCACGAGGCCCGCAAAGGTCAGGCCCTTGTACGGCTCATCGCTGAAGACGACGTGGTGGTGGCCGCTCTTGTCCTTGTCGGCGGCGGCGGCGGCCGCCGCCCGGCTCTTGGACGACTTGCTGACGGGGCCGCTGGCAAACGCAATCACACGCAGGCCCTGCGAGGCCAGCTTGTCGGCCTCCTCGATCGCCTCCTGCTTGCGCTTGCCGTCCAGCACAAACTCGCGACCGTCGTCGGACACGTACGTGTCGCAGGCCTCCAGCACGCGGTCGAGCGCACCCTTGATGTACGCAAACTCCTTGTCGTTCTTGCTGCTATTCGTATTGTTGTTGTTGCCGCCACCGCTGTTGCTGCCATCGCTGTTGTTGCTGCTGCCAATGGTCACGCCCATCCACTTGCGCTCCGAGCTGAAGGGCGTCTCGACCACGCGCGGGCCAATGGCGTCGCGCACGTCGTGCTCCTTGTAGCGGTCCACGAGGTCCATGACGGCCACATCGGTCGGCTGGCCCACCCAGCGGCTGACAGAGAGCGGGCCGTCCTCCTGGTTGAGCGTCGACGACAGCACGGCACGCGCGCCCGCGCCGTTCTCGCGGTACCGGCGCGACAGCCGCGCGTTGTTGGCAATGTTGCCGATGCGCAGGATGCGCGTCGCCGCGGCATCCGGCTTGGCCTCGGCGACGTCCTCCTCGGCGTCCACCTCGACGGGCGCCGCGCGGCCAAAGTACCACAGCTTCGTGACCGTCATGTGGTTCATCGTCAGCGTGCCCGTCTTGTCCGTGCACACCACATTGACCGACCCGAGCGTCTCGACCTTGGGCATCTTGCGCACAATCGCATTGCGGCTGGCCATGCGGTGCACGCCCAGCGCCAGCGTGACCGTGACAATAATCGGCAGACCCTCGGGAATGGCGGCCACGGCGAGCGAAATGGAAATTGTGAAAATGTCGAGCAGGCCCTTGCCCTGCAGCCAGCCGATCAGCGAGATGAGACCAATGACGACAAACGAGAACTTGCTGAGCTGGGCGCCCAGGTCGTCCATGGACAGCTGCAGGGGCGACCGCGGGCTCTCGGTGCCCGAGACACTGAGCGAGATGGTGCCAAAGTGCGTGTTGCCGCCCGTCGCAAAGACAATGCCCTGGCCGTGGCCCGACTTGACCAGCGTGCCCATGTACGCAATGTTCTTGTCGTTGTGGTGGCTGTCGGCGCTGGCCGAGAGGCTGCCACCGGGGTTGGGGCCGGGGCCGTTGCCAATGGGCGAGGGCAGAGGAAGGCTGTTGCCGGGTGACTTCGGATGGACGCCGGGCGAGAAGGGCAGGCTGACGCGGGAGCGCACGTCGGACGTCAGGCGCACGGGCTCGTTCTCGCCCGTCAGGTTGGACGCATCAATGGTCAGGTCGACAGCCTTGGTCACGCGAATGTCGGCCGGGATGCGGTCGCCCGTCGTGAACAGCACCAAATCGCCGGGCACCAGCTGCTGTGCGAGGACCTTGGTCGACGTGGCCTGGATGACCTCCTCGGTTGGCGTCACGGTGCCGCTGACGGTGTCGAGGTCGGACAGCTGGAGGCGCGGGTCGGACGGCGTCTGCGGGTCGCCATTGGCGTCGGTGCTCGATCCGGGCCAGTTGCCGACGGGCGAGGGACGGGCGCCGGGCGTCGCGTCTTTGGTCGCGGTGCGGATAAGGTGGGCGTGGTCGGGGACGAGGTGGTTGAGGGCTTCAATGGACTTTTCCGAGCGGTACTCCTGGACGAAGCCGACCGTCACGACAATGGTCACGGCAACCGTAATGCTGATAGCGTCACTGGTGTTGCCGACAAGCACCGACGCGCCGGCCGAGATCAGCAGCAGAATAATCAGGGGCTCCTTGAACTGGCCGAGGAAGCGCAGCCACAACGGCTCTGGGGGGGTCGTGGGGGATCTCGTTGGCGCCGTCGCGCAGGCGGGCCACGCCCTCAACAGGCGTCAGGCCGTGGGTGAGTGATGTCTGGAGGCGCTGGGCCGTCTCAGCCGGCGTCAAAAACGCGTACTCTTCTGCTATGCTCCGGCTCTGGGCCGATGTTGTGCGGACATGGTTTGGCGATCGTGACCGGCGGCCGTGGTAATCGTCGCGGCCGCTGGGCTGTGGTGTCGACAGGCGCGGCACGTCTTTGCCGTTGAAGAGGGGAAGGGGGTATTCGTTGGCGCCGCCGCCAGTAAGCCGGTCCATGACGGTTTGCGGGCGTGGGAAGCCGCAGGGCAGACAAAGGACAAAAAAGCAGATCGTATCAGGCGGGCGAGAAGAGCAAAGCGGACCCAGACCGGAGGGTCATCCGCTCAACCGCTCGATTGACAGAGAACGAACGTCTGGGGCTGCAGTGATGATGGTCCGATGGTGTGATGGGATGAGGGGGGCCCGTTGAAGGATCGGTAGGAGTGGTGTGGCCGAGAGATAGAGATCTGACCCTGGACTGGAAAAGAGACCAAACGACGAAAGTAGTACGACTGGCAAAAAGGTAACATGCGATTGGGAGCCGAATCGAGAAGCGATGGGGCAAGTTCGATGCCGAGAAGTTTGACAAGGACAAAGCGAGGGTCGATGGCGAATTCGGGATCTGGTGAATGGGTAGATTTGAGAGACGTACTGGCACGAGCAAAGAATTGACCAAAGAACGAAGAACTGGAGAACGAAGACGTTACAAAAGAAGCAGGGCGAAAAGAACAGGTGTGAGCGATCGATAGCCGAGAGGCCAGCAGAGCTCTGGTTCCAGCCAGCGAATAGCAGGTGTGGAGAGAAAAAGGGGCTTTGCTAGCAGGGAAAGGGGCCGCCCAAGAGAGAAGCGAACGAGTGCAATGCGCTGATGTGGACTTGATTGGGAAATGGTATGGGGAGGGCCCACACCAGCAGACAAAGATAGATTCGACAGGGTTTGGCAGTGAGCCCCAGGAGTGAATCTGGGATGCTAGTGCAGATGCGCGACGCAAAGAGGTCGAGTCGTTAGCGTGCAGCGAACAAAACGACGAAACGGACAAAACGTGAGGTTGTTTTCAGGACAAATTTGGAAAAGGAGACAGATGCGAGTGTTGGTGATGCCAGCTGCTGAACGCTCCTTCCGCTAAAAACAGACTGCCCCTTGCGTGTTGGAAATGCAGGTGCGGCTAGAATGCCCCTTCCCGTTTCCCAAACGGACGTCTACTTCATTACATATGCGGCAAGTGCTACAGGTACTTTCGTACAAATACCTCTGCCCGCGCATAAACTGCACACTGTGTTGCCGCTCTTTCCCAAACAGGCGGATGCACGCAGGTCCGTCCTGGAGAGTCCCCCTTTGTTCGCCGTGGCTCAGTGGAGAGCGCTGGAGGGCGCTAATCTTGGGACAGACTCAGCGGCTCCGGCACGCGACAGGTGGTTTTACAGCGGGGCCTTGCCTGTGCAACATACTGAGACCTGCCAGAGATGTACCTGAGAAGGGCCAATGGGGTGTACAGATACACACAACTTTACAGAATGCACTGTTGAACGCAAAGAACGTGCATTTCATGCGGGTGCACCATACCGTCCACGTTTCGCATACAGTCCGCCTTGAATCGGTTTACTTACACGATACGTCGACTACTTTGACGACTTGACGCCGTAGTACATACCTGCCGCATTTACCTGGCTTTGATTGGCTAACACCGACAGCACCAGACCGCTCCTCAGGTGATGCACGTGATTTTCTGTGGCACGGAGACACGGAATGTGGCTGGGCACCCCAGCCACCGGATTAATTTCGCAGCTGCCGCTTTAGCCCGCACTGTGACTGGCTGGACAACCAGGGGGGTCGGTCGGCCGCTGAATGCAGAGTGGTGCGTTCCTTCCCAATACCAGACGGTAGCCACTCACCCCCCTCTTCGCGCCGTTCTTTCCCTGTCGCTGCCCATTTTCCCCTTTTGCACCATCGCCGCGTGCAAAAAAGTCACAACGAGACCCAACCGGTGTGCACCTTCCTTCCCTGATTCCCATCCGTCCTTGCCTCCTCTCGCTCCCTCCTGCATCGTCTTCTTTACCTTTCACCCTCTTTTTTTTGCTTCACCGCGACGACATCGCCTCGACATCTATTTGCATTGCTTCGCGCTTCGCGCACGACGACCTCGACGACACCGCCCGTACACAGTGTCCAGATTGGGCGTCTTCTTCGCACTCGGACGCGAGCGGTCCACTCTAAAATAAAATAAAAAATAACAAGGCCCCTTACGCGCCTGGGTTGTTTACCTCGTTTTTCTTTCTTTCTTTTCCCTCCCTCTCTCCACCCACGCCACTCTCCTCCACCCCGACACACGTCGCGTTCGCCGTTGCTTTCCATTGCGAGACGGAACGGTGCACGGGACTGTCTTTGATCATCACGTCCCTCTTCCCCCATACCATCATCTACTATCTACATTGCCATCCCCTCTCCATAGCATCGCATCACGACTGACCGCGTAACGCGAGCGAGCGTTCCTTTCTGCATCGCGGCCAACCTCCCCGCCCGGGCATTGTCCATTGCGCCCCCCCACCTCTCTCTGGTCCACGGCCCGCCGCGACCATGTTCTATTCGGAGACGCTGCTCTCCAAGACGGGGCCTTTGGCCCGCGTCTGGCTGTCGGCCAACATTGAGCGCAAGCTCTCCAAGACGCACATTCTGCAGTCGAACCTGCAGGACAGTGTCGAGGCCATCATCACGCCGAACCAGGCGCCGATGGCGCTGCGTCTCAGTGGCCAGCTGCTTCTGGGCGTTGTCCGTATCTACAGCCGCAAGGCCCGTTACTTACTAGACGACTGCAACGAAGCATTAATGAAGATCAAGATGGTAGGATTTTTGTCTGTCGTTCCCCTCGATTTGACAGTCGTCGAACCCCACTAACGATCCCAGGCCTTCCGGTCAAGTGGCAACAACGACCTGCCCGCCAACCAACAAAGCTCCAACCGCGAGTCGCTTCTTCTGCCAGACCGGATAACACAGTACGACAACCTCGACATGCTGCCGCGGCCGGACCCGGAATTCTTCCTCGCGCAGCTGGACGAAGTGACGGCCACACCCTCGAGCAGCAACCGCCGCGCCGGCGGTGGCGGCCGTGGCAACGCCCGCGACATCAACCTGCAGGAGGACTTTAACAACAGCCAGTTCCTCGGCGGCAACTTCAACGACGACGACGATCTCGCCATTGCGGCCAAGGACGACCTGGAGCTCGACCTGGACTTTGGCCTCGACTTTGACGACCCGCTGCGCCCTGCCGACCACAGCGTCGAAGTCGGTCGTGACGCGCCCGCGCCGGCCCCCTTTGAGGACGACATGCTTGACTTGGACCTGGACCCCCGGGGCGGCAAGGACGGCGCCGACGACACGTTTGCCGACGGCGTGCGCATTGCCGGCGACGACGGCGACATCCGCATGGACGACGATGACATGCAGTTCAACCTGGGCGAGCAGTCGATGCTGCCCGGCGGCCTCGTGGACATGTCCCGCGCCCGCATCTCGGAGTCGCCGCTATCGGACGTCGACGACGACGATGTGCGCCAGGGCGAGCTCGAGTACTCGCGGCACAATGGCCTGGACCTGTACGACGCAGGCGACGGTCTCGGCCCGAACCAGGTGGCGCGCCGGGCGCCGCAGCGGGTCAAGAAGACCAAGGTCCTGGAGTCAGACGCGGAGACGATGCTGGCGGGCAACGTGATCCGCGAGCAGCAAAACAACCGCGAGAACATCCTGAAGCCGCAGGCGTTTTTGCCGCGCGACCCGCAGGTTCTGGCGCTGATGGAGATGCGCAAGACCAACGGCTTCGTGTCGAGCATCATGCTGGGCGGCCGCAGCGCGACGTGGGCGCCGGAGCTGCGCGGCCTGCTGTCGTACGAGTCGATCCACGGCCCCGTGCACGACCTGAAGCGCAAGCGCGACAGCGGCATTGCCGACATGGACAGCGACCAGGACCCGACGCACTCCAAGTCGCCGCGCCTCGACCTGGGCGACGACGGTGACCACCTGGGCTTTGACGGCGGCGCCGACCACTTTGGCGGCCCGTCGATTGCGCCCGATGGCACCGTCCTGGAGATTGCGGGCTTTGGCGGTGCGGACGACGACGATGACGACATGACCTTTGGTGCGGGTGCCGGTGGCGGCGACGACCACGGCGCCGACGTGAGCCACCACGCGGCGGCCGCGGGCCCGCCCGTGTCGCTCGGCACCAAGCACGCCGTGCACATTTTGCGCGACTTCTTTGGCAAGGACGCGGCGGACGACGCGGACAAGCGGAAAAAGTCGTCGGCCGTGTTCCAGCAGGTGCTGCCCGAGGGCCGGGCGACCAAGGCGGACGCGACGCGCATGTTCTTTGAGTGCCTGGTGCTGGCCACCAAGGACGCCATCAAGATTGAGCAGGCGAGCGAGACGCTGGGCGGCAGCATCAAGCTGCAGAGCAAGCACGCGCTGTGGGGTGCGTGGGCCGAGCGGGACGCAAGCGGCAACGCGGAGGAGGAGGAGCAGCAGCAGCAGCAGAGCGCGGGCAACCACGTGCCGAGCATGGCCAGTGCACCCGTTGCAGTGGCGGCATAAGCATACAATGTGATGTTGTATGCGCCTGTTGTTTTCTCTTTCTTTCCTCTTATTCATCTCTTGACGACCGCAACCTCCCTCAGCCACCTACCAACTCTCTTGCATCCATCCATCCGCATTGTATTCCCCACCTCGATAACTCGCCTTACTCAACTTTCTTGACTCTCATATACACAATTCTACGGTGGGGGACTATGGACGGTTTGGGTACACGTTTGACACGACAGGCATGTATATTTTTGTTTTTTGTTTCTTACTTCTTTTTCTCGTCTTCTCTTGTTGCATTTCCTAATTTCGTCTCTTGGGGTATTCTTGGGCATTGTTTATTCTTGCGTCTTTTTTTTGTCTTGCGTTCACCCTTCTTCCTCTTTCCCTTCCTCTCCCCCTCGTTTGGTTTGCGCCCTTTCGGAATAGGGCGTTATTTGGCATGCAGTTTTGATTCCGGTAACACCTGGCAAAAGGGGTCCTCTATTTGTTTGTCTCTTTTTTGAAAAGAAAAGAAGAGAGAGGCGGGACCAATTGATACCAGATCACAATATTTTCTATTTTGGTTCTCTCTTTTCGCTTTTTTGCGTTTATTAGTCTAGGATAGGTAGACTAGAAGCGATGCGTCTCCTGTTTGGATATGGTCTCGAGGATGGACAAGACGCTGATGGGGGTTATTTGCCTCGTTGGTTTTGTCGTCCGTTATATTGTATCAAATTAGCAAGGGTCTTTATATTGTATTCAGGTGTTATTGTGATTCTTGTCTTGCACGATCTGGCCGTTTATTGGCGTGTGATTTAGTTTTTCTTGAAAAAAAAACGTCAGATATAACTACGTCCTTGTCAACTCGAGATTTCCATCGACCGGTTAGCATATTTGCCTAGTCATGTCTTTTATTCTGCTGCCTCATTCCTTTACGATGTATTGTTGGTGGTCTTTGTTGTAGGTCCTTCCACGTGATGCAGTTGGCGTCATAGGCAGCCGCGTTTTCCCACTTAGCCCCCTGAAGGCCCCCCTATTCCGTAGTACTCAAGCTAGACGCCACCCCGCTATAAAGTCGAGCTCTCCAAAGTCGGACCTCACTCCACTGCTCTGGCCATCGACGACATACGTTTGCTTCCGTCAACAACAGCCACCCATTGCCAGCTACACAGCCTACCACCATGCCGGCCCCGTCTGATCTCGCCATCGCCACAAAGGCCGTCGAGCGCCTCGTCAAAGAGGAGGCCTTCTACCGCGCCGAGCTCGCCAAGCAGCAGGAACGCGTCCGGCAGCTGGCGGCCGAAATTGCGGCCGCAAACGACCCGTCTACTCTGGACGGCAATGCCGAGTTTGTCCTGAAGCAGGAGGTATGTTCTGTGCTCGATTGTGAAGTCCTCTCTTCGCCCGAAGACTGCTTTCTAACGCATGCTTCAGAGCCGCGCCGTCGACGAGACCAAGGCTGTCTTTGCGCCGCTCAAACAGCGCACGGCCGAGGCCGTCTCGACGCTCGAACAACAGATTGCCATTCGCGAGGCCGATGCGGCCGACGCACAGACCGACGGTGCCGCTGTCGACGACGAGCTCGACAAGGCGCGGGCCGTTCTGCGGACGGGCCAGACGGCCGTAGCCAAGGAGATTTAGGCGTAGACGGAACGGGTTCACACAGAAGTGGGGAGACGGCAAGGAGAGGGAGCGAGAAAAAAAAATGTATATCCACCGGACGCCGTGCAAGGCCATTGCTCTATGAAAGACATAATCCTACCAACGAGAAACGCAGCTGTGCAAATCCCAACGCCATCACGTGCCGTAGTACATGGTCAACCACCAAACCACACAAACACCTCACGTCGTATCCATCTTTTCTGTGCTCGCCGGCATCGCCTCGCCGTCGTGTGCCGCCGTGACACGGTCTTCCTCGTCAACCTCGACCATATCGACGTCGTCGCCCTCGTCCATTTGTGTCGCGGCCGGCTCGGGTGTGGGTGTGGGTGTTGGTGCTGCCGACGCAGCGGGCAGAGGCGTTGCTGCCGTGTCGGGCGGCAGCGTTTGGCTGTCGTACGGCTCAGCCCCGGCATCCGCGTCCACCGGAGCGGGGGCCGGGCTGCGTGGCGTGCTGGCACCGTTGGCGGTCGCCTCGGGCACTTGCAGCGTTGGACCGGCTGTCGATGCAGGCGTGTCGGCGGCCTCGGGCCCTGCGGCGGCCGCTGGTGTCGCCCCGGGTGCCGGCGTCGCCCCGGGTGCCGGCGTCGTTCCTCTCGCACCGCCTGCGGCCGCACCACCACCACCACCACCGCCACCACCGCCCGTGCCCGTGGCTGTACCGCCCGCACCCGTCTGCGCCGCGGCCTCTTCCTCCTCGTCCATGCCCTCCCGCCGCTCCACCTCCTCCTTCTCGTCGCGGATCTGCCGCCGCAGCCGCATGCTCTCGTCCATGATGCGCGCAAACTGCTGCTTCCGCTCGCCCCAGGTCACCGCGTACGCCTCGCTCTCCCGCTGCAGCTGCCGGCACTCGTCCTCGAGCTTGTCAATGGTCGCCTGCTGCTCGGGCCGCGGCCACAGCGTCTTGGACGATGTGATGCGGTCCGCCAGCGCGTCAAACGCCTGCCGCTGGGCCAGCGTGGCGCGCGCCGCCTCGAGCTGGCGGCGCAGCCCGACCAGCGTCTCGTCGCGCACGCCGCGGCACGTATCCTCAATGGTCACGCGGTGGTCCGCATACCGCTGCCGCTCGCGGGCGTTGGCGGCCGACAAGAACTGCAGACGGGCAATGCTGGCGTCAAAGGCGGCAAAGTCGAGCGTGATGTCTTCGCGCAGCTGGGCGATTTCGGCTAGCGTTTCGTTGGCTGTGGCATTGCCGTTCTTGTTCTGTGGTGTCCCGTCACTCTGACCCTCACTCTGACCTTCGCCCTCGCCCTCTGGTGGCGGTGTCTGTTCCTGGACTCCAGCAGCGGCGACGACCCGGTTGAGCAGGGCCAGGCGTTTGGTGATGCGCTTGAACGGCTTCTCTTCGACGTTGAGCAGCCGCGCCTTGAAGAGCTCCTCCTCCTCGCGCGGGTCGAGGAGCTGGTATGCCATGTCGGGAGGGTACAGAATGTATCGAGGTATCGAGGTATCGACGTATCGGCGTATCGACGGAGTGTTGGCGAGAGAATCGCAAGCAAAAGTCGTCGTCCGTCGCGGATCGTCTAAAGTCAAAAGAATGGCTGCAAACAAACGCCTTTCTCGCAGATTGCCTTTCAGTTTCCGTGGCGGTGCCGTGTATACGGTCGTTTTGTGGTAGGCGTGGTTTGCCAGTGGACCGGTTTTGTGGGTTGTGACGTGTCGTTGAGCTCGTTGATAAAGAATGGAGATGTGAGAAGTGGAATAGAAAGAAAATCAATTGGAAAAGTCACCACAAGGCGAGGTGCAACCGTAACCACTGGAAGCGTGCTAACAGGCGCTATGGCAGGCGCTGGTTGGCTGGTATTTCACGACTCTCCGGGCAATCAGTGGGGCCGCAGTAGTGCTGTGATGCCCCCTGGCGTTACGACGACCCCCAAAAAATGGCTGGGCGCGCAGCCTTGTGACAGTGGGAGCCTATGATGGACTCACATCGGCCTTTGCGGAATTCCTTTGACGACACCCCATCCACCGTCAACCATCCAACAACAACGCAGCAACGGGATGAGCCGGCTGCACATCTCCACCATGGGCACGCCATTGTATAAATAGCATACGCGTTTCCCTCTTGTTTGCCCGCCTGTATTTCTCAGGCGACATTGCATTCGTCGACGATCTTCGCATCGTCACGCCTTCTCATCTTCACCTTCGTCTTCTTCATCTTTGTCTTCACCTACAGTCCAAGCTCACTCTCGTCTCAACTTTCCCCATATCCCGTCCCGTCCCCTCACACACGCGCCATGCCCAACTTGCCAGTAGCCGAGAAGCAGCGCGGACCGCGCACGCTCAAACGCATGGCCCTTTCCGTCGCCGTCCGCAACATCGCGGCCGTCACGGACATTGGCGACATGGCCTTTTCCAGCGCCGTACCATTGCTCGCCCACATCGACAGCCCCCACCAGCTGTGGCAGCTGGAACAAAACTGCCCGCAGCTCGCCGACGAGCCGCTCGAGATGGCCGGCATCTGGGCCCGCCTGCTGACCAAAAAAGTGCCCGGCTGGGATACCAAAGGCTATCTGACAGACGAGGAGCTCAAGACCATGACGTGGATCGAGATGTACGACAAGGCCAAGGCCGCCTTGGACGCCGAGACGGCCGCTGCTGCAGACCGCCTGAAGCAGACCCTGGCCGGCTTCAGCAAAGCCAAGGAGGACAACGCCACGCAGCTCGTCAACAGCCGGGCGCTCCTGCGCAAGATGCCCGGCGTGATGGCCAAGAAGCGAGGGCCCGGCCGGGCGGCCGATCGGGGCCAGGCGGTCCTCAGCTTTGGCAGCGGCTCGCGCACCAAGATGACGTCTGGGCAGAGCGTGCTGCGGCGGGCGCGGCGCGAGGCCAAGGAGATGAGCAAGGTGTCGCAGCTCAGCAGCCGGCTGACCGACAACCAGGCCGTGGCGCGCAGCCAGATCCGCATGCCGCCGGCCGCCATGCTGCACGACCACCGCGTCGCGCACCAGCCCGGCTCGGGCATCATCCGGCCACCCAAGAGGTTCCCTGCCGCGTCGTCGCTGTCGAAGTCGGGCGTCAAGACGCACTACGAGACCGAGGGCAAGCTTGGCGCGCCGGGCACGGGACTCGGCGTGGGCAATGCCACCAACGAGGCACGGCTGCTCGCCCTCAAGAGGGGCGGGGTGGCTGCTGCATCGTCGGCCCCGTTCTACTCGGCCGGGCCCGCAGCCCCCGTCATCCATGCGCCCAGGAAGCCTCGGGCTACGGCGGCGGCGACAACAGCAACAACAACAACTACAATGGCAAAAGAAAAGCGCCGGGCATATGACCACGACGACGACGACGAGCTGTTTGGCGTCGTCACCAAACCGAGCAAACGGGCGCGGCTGACGGTCGAGGATCTCGAGGGCGGCAGCAGCGGCAGCGGCAGCGGCAACGATGCCCGGGCCAGCGACGACGACCTCTTCGGCTCGGACGACGAGCCCATGTCAACACCGAAGACGTCGCGTACAAGCGTGAGCGGCCGGGACAGCCGCAGGGAACGAGACTGCCTGCACATTACAGACCATCGAGACGACAGACGTGGCGATCGATCCCATGACCGGTCGTATGACTCTCCTCCGAAACAGACCACCACACGGCCGCCGTCTGCACCGAGCACGTCGACAGTTTATAGACCACCGCCACAGACAGCTCCCGCCGGCTCGCCTCCACGAAGCCAGGCCGTTGGGAGTGTCCCACGGAAGAAGGCCGTGGATATTTTTATGCGGCCGAAGAAGAGGTAGACGGCTGGCTCGTCTCCTTTCGTTTTCGTCTTGGTTGCTTCATTCATTTTTATCGTATTTTTGTGCTTTCGTGCACGGCATATTATACACGTTGGGATATTTATTGCAAGGCGTCAAACTTAGGTTCCGTATTCTTCTAATGGGCATTCATAGCGATTTCGAAATTCATAAGCGCAATTCATGGGAGAAGTCTGTACAAGGTGTTGTTTCAACAACGCAATACTGGTCCGCCGTGTCTACTTTTCGAGTACAGTGAAAGTGAAAAAGGAAAGCCATCCCGGCTGTAAACTGAATAATGAACAAGATAAAATAACATACATAAAACGCCATGCGAAAGATGAGGCGGAAACGCAAAACATTGCAAAGAACACAAATCAGCAAAAAGAAGGCAAACAGGATAGCGTCGTGGCTGCGAAACGGTCCAATCTTGATCTCCCCAGAGCTCCGACCCTCTGCTAACCCATCCGCATATGCAACCATTATGGTCGTCAATGTCCACCGATTTCGGTCGAGAGTTTGCGAGTCGAGCCTTGGATGCCATTGCCGTGGGAAGTATCGTCATATGTCTGTCATCCGTCTGCCCTTGTCATCCTCTCCTCACCCTGGCCCTCTCTACCACCAGCCGCCGCGCAGGGCCAGCACCAGATGCAGCGTGGCACCGCCCTCGAGCGCATAGTCGGCGGCCGTCTTGTCGTCGGCCATCTGCTTGCCGCCAAAGATGAGGCGCTGCTGGACCGGCGGAATGCCCTCCTTCTCCTCCACCTTTTCCTTGATTTCGGAGACCTTGTACTTGAGGTCGATGTCGAGCTCAATCTCCTTGCCCGTGAGGGTGCGGACCCTGTTATTGTCTGTTAGTGGGAGGAGCAGGCCAAGCAAACGCGGAAGCAAGAGGGACCGGCACCTACTTGATCAACATGGCGGCAGCTGTCTGTTACTGTTTTGCGTGTTTGTGTGTTTGCAGACGGTGGTGTTGCTCGAGGAGGGACCTTGGAGATGTGTGAAAGTGACCAGACCCGAGGCAGCTGTCCAAGTGAAAGGCTAGACGGGTAGAGGAACGCTGGAGAACGGTCGCTGGAATGCCAAGGACGGAACAAAAGGCAAAATGCTGTTGCGAAGGAAGGGCAGCAAGGTTGACGCTGCGGGTGATGGTGGATCGTCCGGTGTGCATTTAAATGTTCAAATGTTCAAAGGTGCCTGGCGGACAAGAGGGAGGGGTTTTGTTTGTCAGGTCCCGATTTAGCGCAGCCCAACCAGTCCGTAGGCGCCAGAACGCTCCAGGCAATAACGGCGGCCAGGTGGGGCAGTGCAGTCGTGCTTTCCATAACTCCCAGGTCTGTCCCGCGTTTGTGGCCAGTGGCTTTTCAGCCGTTTGACAGCGTGGGAAAGAGGCAGCCTGACGTAGTAAAGGAAGGCACGAACGGGACAGGCGAGCACGCTGCAAGGTGACATCAGATGAGGCGACAACTGTGTGTCGCGAGGCTCCAGATGATTGGTACCGACGATACAGCCGTTGATGGACGACGTCACAATGTCAGGGTGCCGTCCGAGCAGGCGGTTTTCATGCATTCATGCAAGATGATTTTGTCCCTTTTTACAGCTATGAAACATTACAACCGAAAAAGCAACGAAGCTAAAGCAAAACAAATAAAGAAAACAGGAATATGATAATACACAGTGGAGATGCCCCTTTTGAGATGGATGGCACGATGCCGTAGGAGAGATTGTTCGTGCCCGACATGCCATGCCATGCTGCCATGCCACGCCGGGATGTTGCGTGTTTTCCCCAGTCCTCCTCCCCTTGTCCCCATCCAAAACGCCGTCTTCGTTCATGCCTTTACACAGTTCCGTTCTCAACGACGTCCTTCATTTTCGCATTTTCACCCTATTTCGACTCCTCCCCGCTCTCAAACACGTTCAGGCCCAGACCCTCGGCGTCCAGCAGCAGCCGGTTCTTGCCGCCGGCGTCCTGCAGCGTCGTCGCAATGGCCCGCGCGTTCTCCAGCTTCTTGAGCTCCACGTACGCCTTGTTCTTCTTGATGGCATCGCCAATCAGCTCGGCCGACCGCGCCTCGCCCTGCGCCTTGACCACCATGGCCTGCTTCTCCTGGCGCGCCTTGTCGACGACAAAGGCCGCGCGCTGCGCATCCTGCTGGGCCACCTGCTTGGCCTCAACGGCGGCCGTGAACTCGGGCGAGAACGCCAGGTGCGTCAGGGACACGTCGTCGAGCAGCAGGTTGAAGCGCGCCGCGCGCCGCGACAGGTTCTCGCGCACCAGCCGGGCCACCATCTCGCGCTGCGTAATCAGCTGGCTGGCGTTGAACTGCGCGACCACGCTCTTGAGGACCTCGTTGACAATCGACGGCAGCACGCGCTCGTCGTAGTCGGTGCCCAGCGTGCGGTAGATCTGCGGCAGCGCCGGCACGTCCGGCCGCGACAGCACGCGGCACGTAATGTTGACCATCTGCAGGTCCTTGGTGCCCGTCAGCGACGACACATTGCGCGGCCGCGCCCGCACGTCGTACACAATCGGCGACTCAAACCACGGAATCATAAAGTGCGTGCCCTCGCCGTAAATCTCCTTGGACACGCCGCTGAGCCGCCGGTACTTGATGGCCCGGTGCCCGCCGTCCACGTTGAACAGCCCGTTCTGGAACACCCAGATGCCGCCGCCCACCACGAGCAGCGACGACACGAGACCGCCGATCCGCGGGCCGGGTCCGCCGCCGCCACCGCCGGCACCGCGACGGCTACTGTTCAGCGCCATCTGCTGCAGCCGGCGGACGTAGTCGTCCATGGGGCCACGGCCGGACATGTTGCGGGAGAGGGAGGTGACGGGGAGTGGTAGAAGGGAAAAAGCACGTCGTTGGAATAAGAGAGGACGAGTCGTCGGCAAGCGTACAGCTTGGTGTCGGTCGTTTTCGGATCTCGAGGCTGAGATCGTGCGTCGAATCGACCGTCAATCGTAAATCGGATGTCGATAGGCCAAACGTCAAAAACGTGGTGGTTGTCTGCCTCTCTTTTGTGTGCTCCGCAGCTCTGCTTTCGCTTTTTGCCTTTTTTGCTGACCTTTCTACGGCACACCGGCCCCAGCTACGACGCCTGATTGGCCTGTTGCTTAGGTGGCGTGCCCCACCACAGACGACTGCTCGCCTGCCTGAAGGCGTCTGGTTGTATGGTGGACAGACAAACGTATCTGCTTTATGTCGATGACAGACAATTGACGACAGAATTAAGATCACCTTTTACCTCCCAGAATTCGAAAGATGTTTCTCAATTTTTACATGAATTTCTAGACGGTGGCAGAGCTGTTCACATCACTTTTCAGTCCACCTCTTAATTGATGTCACATGACTATGCACGTGCACTGTCTGGAGCTAGGCTATATGCATGCAGCTCTCCACCAAAAAGAAAGGCAAAGCCCTTTCAACGTCCACCGTGAACCTCGACCTGCCTCTCACGCGCAATTGCACCTCAACGGCGACACGGTTTCTTCACGACGACAATACGGCATCTTCCTTGACACCGCACCAACATAGCGGAGCTGTGTCTCGTGTCTGGACCGATCGACATCCAGTCCAGAGTGTCACGAGCTTCCGTCGTCTCGCCTCGTCAAGGCCTTCCAACCAGCGGCTTTGTGTTCCCTGCGCCCTCCAGATCCGCCTGCACATTCGCCGACATGTCGCGGCAGCCCTCCAAGATTGTCTTTGTGGGTAACATCCCATACGGTAGGTCAAAGCAAATGTGTGGACGCCGTCTGCCCCGACCCTGACTAACCCGACGGCAGGTCTCTCCGAAGAGCAGATCTCCGACATCTTCAGCAGCGCCGGCCGCGTCGTCAGCTTCCGTCTCGTCTACGACCGCGAAAACGGAAAGCCCAAGGGCTTTGGCTTCGCCGAGTACCCCGACCCCGACTCGGCCGCCTCCGCGGTACGCAACCTCAACGACTACGAGGTCATGGGCCGCAAGCTGCGCGTCGATTTCTCCAACGAAGGCCACGACGAGGACATGCCGGCGTCCATGGGCGGCAGCAACACCTACGGGGGACCCGGCACCGGTCTGGGTACGGGCAGCAATGGACCGGCGGCGAGCACGCCCATGGCCGCAACCGGTTCGTCCAACGGCAGCTCGTCGCTGCCGCCCCTGCCGCCCGGCAAAGACATCCCGCCCGGCGCGAGCGCCACCGACGAGATCTCGCGCGTTCTGCGGACGCTGCCGCCGACGCAGCTGCTCGACGTGCTCACGCAGATGAAGACGCTGGCGACCAACGAGCCCGCGCGCGCCACCGAGCTGCTGGCCCAGGCGCCGCAGCTGGCGTACGCCGTGTTCCAGGCGCTGCTGCTCATGGACCTGGTGTCGCCCGAGGCCATCCAGGCCGTCGTCGAGGCGACACCGGCGGTGCCTGTCGTCCCACAGCAACAGGCGCCACCACCACCGCCGCCGCCGCCCGCCGCATACGCCGGGTACCAACCCGAGCTGGTACCACCCGTGGCAGCACCGCCCGCGGCTGCCCCGGCCGCGCCAGGACAGGATGAGCTGATCAAGCAGGTGCTGGAGCTGCCGCAGGCCGTCATTGACCAGCTGCCCGAGGCAGAACGGACGCAGTTGATGGCCCTGCGGATGCAGTATGGTGGCGGTGCGCGGTAATCTGTTGTTGGTGTTGTATTTTTTGTCCTTCGTGTGTCTTTTGCGGTTATTTGGTCACGACATATCGGATCTGGTGTTTTGCTGTTTGTTTAAAGTGTTGTATGTCCATCTACGGTCAAGGCGTTCTTGTCGGCTCAAAATACTGGCGGGTGATTTTATTGAAATACCAACTCGTACATTATCGTCCGCGTGTGCTGAGTATTGTGAAGGAAATAATATAAATGCATTTTGAAGGAAATTATTGTTCTTGTCATCGAGCTAAAAATATACTCTTATGCAATTTATACTGAGAAAATATTTTAATAATGTTTCAAGTCACGCACGATAGACGCATCATGTGCATTGTATGGTATATGTACGACTCGACCACACCCCAAAAGCAAATATAAACGCCGTTCGTATGCTTTTTGTCAGCTCCCCACCCCAGTGCGCCGCCCACAAAACAAAAGAAAACTATATGGATTTATGCAACGTCCACGTCGCGTTCGGATGGTTCGTCGCTTCCATGCAGTCACACAATCTTGTAGACGCGCTTGGCGATCCAGTAGCAGGCCATGCCAAAGGCGAGCAGGCCCGCCGTAATCACCATAAAGTAGCGCAGATCGCCCTCGCCGTCCTGGCCGGGCACCCAGACGTTCATGCCCCAGAGGCCCGTGATGATGTTCATCGGCAGCACGATTGTGCCCAGCACCGTCAGCTTGCCGAGCACGTCGGCCGTCTTCTCCTGGCGCTCGTTCATGCGGATGTTGATCTGGGCGAGGTAGTTGCCGTGGGAGCGGGAGAGAATCTTCTCGTAGTGGCTCAGGTTGGACGTCATGGTGACAATGTGGTCCTGGATGTCGCCCAGGTACAGGCCGATCTCGCTGCGCGGCGCAATCTCCCAGTGCTCGTTGCAGCGCTTGGCAAAGCCCTTGATGACGTCGGCCTTGGTGCCCAGCAGCCGGTACAGGCTCATGACGCGCTTGCGGCAGTCGCCCACCTGCAGCAGCATGTTGGTGTCGGCCTCGGCCGTCGCGGCCGCGTTGCCACCGCCACCACCGCCGCCACTGCCACTGGCGGTGCCGGTGGCCATCTCGCTCTTCTCGCGGTTGGCCGCCAGCACGTGGCCCGCCGCCGACGAGTGCATCTGCAGGATGGCGTCGTCAATGTCGTCGACCTCCTCCTCAATCTTTTGGATCAGCGGCACAAAGACGTCGGTGATGTCGTCGATGATGGCATACGAGATCCAGTCGGACGACAGGATCATGTAGTCGCTGAGCTGGCGGATGCGCCGGCGCACGTTGGCCGGGTGCGGTGTCATGGAGAAGTGGAAGCTGAGGACGCCCTCGCGGAACACGACCACGTACATGTTGACGGGGTCCAGGAACGTCTCGCTGCTGGGGTCCTGGTCGAACGAGCGGTAGCTCACAAAGTAGTAGTTGTGGAACAGCTCGACCTTTTCGCGCGCCTCCTGCATGACAATGTCCTCGGCCGTCAGCGGGTGGATGCCAAACGCCTTGCTCAGAATCTTCATCTCGGCCTCGGTCGGGCTCAGCACATCGAGCCACCACACCGGCCGCTCGCCGTAGCGGGGCTGCCGGGGCTGTCGGGGCAGTTTCGTGACGGCGCCCGGAGCCTGCCCAACGGCCGTATCGTTGCCCGTCCCCGACTGCCGGGACGACGAGCGGCCGCGCTCATGGGCGGCCACAGACGTCGCCGCGGCAGCGGCGTTGGCAGCATCGGTGGCTGCCACGGCGGCAGCGGCAGTGACGGCGGCCCGCAGGTTCTCGCGTTCTGCCTGCCGCTGCGGTGTCAGTGCCAAGGGAGCCGGCCCAGGTGACATGGTCCGCAGGGGCCGCTGGTCGGGGCTGGTGACCTGGGGTGGTGACATCACGCGGGGGGGAGAGAGTGGTGTTGGGCGGCCAAAGTCATCCGACAATTGCGTGGGTGTGCGCTCCATGGTCGCCGAGGACAGCGGAGGACGCAGCCCCTGTGATGCGGCACCGCTGCCGCCCTTTTCTGGGCTGGCAGTGCCTCCTGAGCGCGTGCCTGGGCGCGGAACGCTGTCGCCGGCGTTGGACAGGGCTTCGGCTACATAGAGCGGGTCGCGGCTGAGGTTGAGGTCGGCAGCGGTGCTGGCGATGTCAGGCGCCTCGTAGCCGGGAACCGTCGTGCCATCCAGCGCGCTGCCGTCACTCCTTTCGTGGCCGGGGACAAAGTCCGCGTCGTCGTCATCGTCTGAGTCGGAGTCGGACAGTAGGGGCGGGTCTGGAATGAAGAGCTCGCGGAAGCTGCCGCCGGGCTGCACGAGCTCGGAGATGGACTGGCTGTGGATGGTGCTCTGGAACTCTTCGTTGAAGTAGGTGAAGCGGTAGGGCGCGTCCTCTTCGGCGCGGTGCCAGCCCTTGTGGACGGGCCGCAGGCGGCCGTTGACGAGCTGCGGCTCCTTGATCTTCTTGGCGCGGCGGCCCTCGCTGCGGCCCTCCTTTTCAAATCGGCTCCACTCGTCGAGGATGGCCAGATCAGGCCACTTGCCCCGGCGGCGGCGGTTCGTGCGTGCACGCCACGCCGCGGCATCTCGCTCACGGTCGACGTCGTCGTCGTCGTCGCGGTGGTAGTCTTCTTCGTCCTCGGCCATCTCGGAGAGGTGCCCCTGCGGGAAGCACACGTCATTCTCACCGCCACCACCGCCAACACCAGCGCCAGCGCCACCCATCGAGCCCTTGTTGCCGTGTCCGTTGTGGGTGCTGCCATGGTCGCCGTCGCCACCGGCCGCCTTGGATGGCTGACGTCCCCGTTGATCATGGGAGCGATCGCGATCGCGATCGCGATCACGGTCCCGATCGCGGTCCCGTTCACGGTCTCGCTCGCGATCGATGAGCATGTCGTTCAGGTTGTTCTTGCTGGACGAGGTCTCGGAGCGGCGCAGGCCCACCGGTGACGAGGGCGCGCGCAACTCATCGCGCAGCATCTGGTCGCCAAAGCTAATGTTGTTGTTGTGGTCGAGCAGGCGGTCTGTTGGACGCAGAGGCGGACTGCCGGGGACGGACGGCGGGTAGTTGACGCTGCTGTACCGCTCGGCATTGGGAAAGGGGCTGAAGGGGTTGAGAAACTTGTTGTGGCGGCCGGAGTGGTTGGACCCGTGTCGGCTCGGCGGACGGGGCCCGTCGTTGGAAGAGCCCGTGGTGGCACCGTAGCCGCTGAAAGCCGCAGCGCGGGAGGCGGCAGCCGACGGAAAGTCGGACCCAATGCCGCCGCCGCCACCTCCACCTCCGCCGCCGCCGCCGCTGCCGCTGCCAGAGCTCGGCATGCGCTGCTCCTGGTGGTACGACTGCGCGAGCAGCGGCACCGTCTCGTTGGCATCGTCGTTGTTGTCGTCATTGTCAAGGTCGGCCTGTAGCCGTACCGATTGGCTGAGACTGGGCGTGACGGCAATCGAGGGCCGGCGGGCGCGCAAAAACGGCTGCTGGTCGCGGTGGTCGAGCAGGCTCTCGCTCTCGAGGCTGGTGGTGCTGAGGCTGCGGGCGCGGTGGTTGTGGTGGATGTCAAAGAACTCGTCGCGTGAAGCGGCGGCCAGGGTCGTGTCCTTGAGAGGATCGGCCTCGACGTTGTCGTGTGCGCCCTCGTCGTCGCCGAGGCCGTGCGGCTGGACGACGGCAAACGACTTGCGGCGCTGCTTCTTCTTGCCGCCGCGGTGCTTGTGGCGTTTACGCGGGGGACCTGCCCCTGCGCCTACCCCTGCCGATGTTCCTGAGGCTCCTGGCGCTGCTGGTGCTCCTGTGTTGGTCGGTTGCGGTGGGACGGCTGACGCTGACGCTGTGGCCGCAGACGGCGTGGCCGACGGCCGCGGAGGCCGGGAGGGCGAAGCGGCCGTGCGAGACGACATCGTGACACAGTCCAGGGGAGAACAGGAGAGACAGAGAGACGACCAGGTAGTATTCCTGTCTAAGAAAGCTGAAGGAGAAAACGTTTGTCCAAATTAAGGCGAAGGCATGCTATCGGCCAGATTGCCGAACGGGACGTGGCCGAGGCGACCCATCCAGAAGTCCGTTGGGCGTGAGTGCGTCGTTTCGGGGGGATCGAGAGACGAGTGACACGGCGATCGGTATCAAGACGTCGAAAGGGAGATTGTTTTCTTTTCGAGCGTGTAGAAGTGGTCGGAAAAGGGGTAGCGAACAAGTGAAGAAAAATCTGAATAGAGCGGAAGGCGAAGCCAAGTGAACCTTATCGTCGTCTTCTGCCTTGGAACATTAACTGGGGAAGGCGCTGAGGAGTTTGGGAGTAGTTTGAGGGAAGGGGCGCCTTGGCGCAGTGGAGCTTTCCTCATTGGGAATCGTACGGTTGCCACCACTGCCTGCACAGGAAGGAGCGATCTGGCGGTAATACGGCGATAGTGGCCAGGCCTCTCCGTCTGGAGCATTTAGATAGGAGCTTTTTTACCCTGTGGGACGCGCCAGTGACGCATTCGATACGGCGAGACCAGATCGTCTGACGACACTGTATTTCGAAAAGAGCTAAATTGGCAGGAGCTAGCTTAGTAAATGACAGAAAGGCGCCATCCAGCTAGGAAAAGGCTGTAGCTAGGAAAAGGCAGTAATTCTTTGTGTGTTTTTGTTTCTTGTATTCTCGCCCTGTAACGCCAGGTACTGTACGAATAAAGCTGTGCTATTTGCCCTTTAGTAGTATATGGTGGCGTCGTACGTTTTTGAATGCGACCCGACGCCGACATAGGAGATCTACGTAGGTTGTTCCATCTCGTTCGTTCACGGTGTGCTTGCCCCTGTGTGTTTCGCTTCCCAAACGGCCGGTTGTGGTTGCCTTCGTGCCCTATTTGATATATGCCGTGATTGTTGTCGAGGCAGGTCAGGGCACTCGCGCCTTCCTCTGTCGACACAGCGCATACTCAGGCGCGTGCTTGGCGTGGCCTTTGACCCAGTGATGTCATCCAGTTGACGCACGTGAAAATAGCAGAGTGGGGGCAGTCGTCCACCGCTTACGAGCGACTTATGTGCTGGCAGGGGTATGGCATATTCCATCTCAGCGAGCGAGACACTTTGAAAGCAAGCGGGAAAAAATAGAAGAAAAAATAGAAAATACAGAAACAGGTAGTCGCACGATTCCATCAAAGTCTTCGTTGGCACGCCTAGTTCGGTCCAGGCCATTCAATTAATACGCTTTCAAAATCTAATAATGCGTGTACGTTAGTTAACATACGGAGCTGCCCAGTGCACCAGCCTTTGTGTCTTTTTGTTTATATTATATTTATATATTTTTGGAACAGTTTCCTTCAATATGTGGCAGGTGGATATGGGCACGTGAGAAAGCAATGTCCACGACACAAACTACGGAAATGCTCGCACGTGAACCAATCGGTCTATCTGATCTTGCGATGGTCGATGCTGCTGTCGAATTGGACACTAAGAGGTGTAAGTCCTGTCTGACTAACTTGATATGGCCCAAGTGAGGCCAAAGGAAGGCGCGGCCGGGAGCGGGCCCCGGGACCTGCACCGATCCCCGCTGCGGGAAGGAGTCTCGTGAGGGGAAGCTCAGGAAGGTACGATGAACAAAGCCCAACTGTTTGGAGAGAGCTTTCAACGAAGAAGGAGCAACTGCAATCAAAAAAGGAAGCTGCAAAGAAGGCCATTGGGGAAAAAAGGGGGTGAAATCAAAACCAAAACAAAAAAACAAAGAATGTACAGCTTCGACAACCCGATCTAGAAAAGCACATCCCAACGAACCGATCAATCACCACGTACCACCGCAGCGCACCATCAAACATGCCCCCTCTTCCTGGGTTCTCCGACAACCCGCTGCGCACACGTGCCGACGTTGTGCGGGCAACGCTTGCGTTGCTCCGGCCGCTGCAGCAGACATGTTTTTCGCCGGGCCGCGGACGCGTGAGCCTCCCCGTGGCGACGGGCGCGCACTTTGACGAGGCGGCGGCGCAGCTCGAGGGCTTTGCACGGCCGCTCTGGGCCGTTGGCGCTCTCTTGGAAGGCGGCGAAGGCGGCAAAAGCGACGGCAGCGACGACGTGTTGGCTCCCTGGATCGAGGGCATGGCCGTCGGCACCGACCCCGAGCACCCCGACTACTGGGGCGACATCAACGACATGGACCAGCGCATGGTCGAGTCGGAGATTGTGTCGTACGCGCTGCTGGCGGCGCCGAACCGGCTGTTTTACGCGCAGCCGCTGCGGGTGCAGGCCAACATTGTGCGGTGGCTGCGGCAGATGAGCGGAAAGGAGATGCCGCCGACCAACTGGCTGTGGTTCCGCGTGATGGCCAACCTGACGGTGCTGCGCTTGACGGACGGCCAGGTGGCTGGGGGCGGCGAGCCGGCCGACAACAAAGTGCTTGTTGACCAGATGAACGAGGACCTGGCGAAGCTCGACTCCTACTACATTGGCGACGGCTGGTCGAGCGACGGATCGTGGCAGACGGAGGAGCAGCAGGCCGCCGAACGCGAAGAGGCGCGCGTGCACGGCCGTCGCGACACAAGCATGGGCCGGCAGGTGGACTACTATTCGGGCAGCTTTGCCATCCAGTTCAGCCAGCTGCTGTACACCCGATACGGCGGTGCAAGTCTCGACCCGGCGCGGGCCGAGCGGTACCGCAGCATGGCCCGGCAGTTTGGCGCGTCGTTTTGGCGGTACTTTGATGAGGACGGCGCGGCGATCCCCTTTGGGCGGTCGCTGACGTACCGCTTTGCGTGCGGCGGCTTCTTTGCGGCGCTGGCCGTGGCACAGGTCGAGGACATGCCGCCGCCGCTGCACACGCCGGGGGCCGTCAAGGGCTTCCTGCTGCGGCACCTGCGGTGGTGGGCGGCGCACTCGGACGACGTGTTCAGTGTCGACGGCACGATGACCATTGGCTGGCAGTACCCCAACATGTACATGGCCGAGGACTACAACTCGCCGCAGTCGGTCTACTGGTGCCTCAAGACGCTGATTGCGGTGGCGCTGCGCGACGACGACGCCTTCTGGGCGGCAGAGGAAGAGCCGTATCCAGCGTTCTCGTCGGACCTGCCCGGCGTGCGTCTCGTGCCCAAGCCGCAGCAGATCCTGTGCAACCACCCGGCGGGCCGCCACCACTTTATGCTGTCGCCGGCGCAGTATGTGGCTTGGCCGATGAAGGCGACGCAGGCCAAGTACTGCAAGTTTGCCTACTCGTCGGCGTTTCCCTTTTCCGTGCCGACGGGCCCGCTGATCCAGCAGTTGGCGCCAGACAACAGCCTGGCGCTGAGCCGGGACGGGCGCGAGACGTGGGCGGTCAAGTGGAAGCACAGCGAGGCGGCCACGTTCACCAACGACGGATGGGCGGTGGTGCGGTGGTACCCCTGGGGCGCCGACCGGGCGGTGCAGGTGGACACGACCCTCGTCCCGCCAACAGACGCATGGCCGGACTGGCATGTGCGTGTGCACCGCATCCGCGTGAACAAGGCGATCCCGATGCTGCACGCCGTGGAGGGCGGCTTTGCCGGACCAGGACGGAGAAGGAGCGCGCGAGGCGACGGCGCCAATCTCGGTCCGGCCGCGGAGAAGCCGGCGAAGCTGATCCTGGGGCAAAACGAAGAGGTGGTGCTGGGCGACGATGCATCCTCCGTGCTGATTCTGTCCTATGCAGGCGCACTGGGCATCGCCATGGACGCGCCGGTTCTACGTTGCGCTGGTGATGCGGGAAGCGCCACGGTCCAGGCGCGGTGTGCGCCGCTCAAGCCCGATACCAACACGAGCCTGGCGTACCAGCGCAGCCTGATGCCGGCTGCATACCACGATGTTGTCGATGCGACAGCGGGCGAGCTGGCGGCGGGCACAGAGCTGGTGCTTGTGACCAAGGTCTTTGCCATCCAGGCTGGCTCGCACGACTCTGAGCGGGTAGACATTACGGAGCGGTGGAATAACAAGCCGAGAGTGGCCTTTGGCAAGGCATCAGCCGAGCCATGTATTGTGCTGCAGGAGTAGTCTGCGCGTGGTGGGAGAAGGTGTATTTACTGGACAGTTCTAGAGGCTTAATAAGTGCGCAATAAAAGTGACATAGACCTCCCATTCACGAACACGAAGCTGTGTAGGTCGTACTCTACATCTGGTTCAACCGGCTAAAAGATCCAGAGTACGGAGCACCCAATCCACGATCTCCGCACTGCCAAAGCGGCCAAGAACGTCGTTTAACGTCTAGTTCCATTTTGCCGGATTGCGCTCCACGAATTCCCCATAACACGGGCACCGGGCAAAGTCACGGCCGGGATTCGGGCGGCTCTGCAACGACCAAAAAGTTGGAGAATCCGCCAGCATCAAGTGAGCGAGAGACACAGCGAAAGGACAATGGATTAAAGAAAACTGGCTGCGAGGAGGACAGTAATAAAGCTCGACGTCCGATGAAAGCAAGTGCAAACAAAAGAAAGAAAAGGATCATTCGACAAAATAATAGTATCAACATCGAAAGAACACAGACACGCCGCACCACACCAAGCATCCCACCTTCCACTGTCCTCCCCGCCGTTCCACGCCCACCAATCAACACTCCCCAACATGCCCAGCTCCGCATCGACAACCAGCTCCGAGGGTGCCGGCGGTGCGCACAGCGACAATACCTCTGACAGCTCCGTCGACGGCACACCAGACATTATGGACCGGCCCAGCGTCAAGCCGATCGCAGCATCGACACCGACGGGCCTGTCCATGGCTCCGCCCCTTGCGGAACGCCTCAGCGGCCTCTTTGCCGAGAACACCATGGCCAAGATCACGCGGACGGCCGTCGAGGCGCTCGTCGATAACGACCCGCCGACGCGGTATCCCGAGTACGTGCCGGTGACGGGGCCCGGGGCCGGCCAGTATGCGCTGCGCGAGGCCGACTTTTGGACGTGCGGGTTCTTCCCGGGCAGCATCTACCTGCTGCTGGAGCGGTTCAACAAGTTCCCGCAGGTAGTCGCGCCGCACCTGTCACCGGCGCTGCGCCGGCGCGTGCAGACGACGCTCGAGACGACGGCGCAGTCGTGGGACGGGCCGATCCGAAGCATGGCGGGCCGCACCGACACGCACGACATGGCCTTTATCGTGATGCTGTCGCAGCGGGCGTGCTTTGAGCAGTACCACGCGCCCGCGGCCCGGGCGGCCGTGGTCCAGGCGGCGTACGCGCTGCACGGGCGCTTCCACGCGACGGTGGGCGCGATCCGGTCGTGGGACCGGCTGGACCAGGACGGCGTGCTCGTCGACTCGCTGGCCGACGACTTCCTCGTGATTGTCGACTCCATGGTCAACCTGGACCTGCTGTACCACGTGGCGGCGCTGGTGGGTGACGACACGCTCGCCGCCGCGGCCACGGCGCACGCCAACACGGTCCTGGGCAGCATTCTGCGGGACGAGGCGTCGACCACGCCCTCGGACGACGGCCGACCCATGTACAGCACCTTCCACGTGGCCAACTTCTCGCCGGCGACGGGCGCGGTCAAGGAGCTGCGCACGGCCCAGGGCTACGCGCGCGACTCGACCTGGGCGCGCGGCCAGGCCTGGGGCATCCTGGGCTTTGCGCGCACGTTTCTGCGCACGGGACAGCCGCAGTTTGCGCGCGCCGCCGCGGGCCTCGCAAACTACTTTTTGCACCGTCTCGCCACGTCACCGGCGTGTGTCGAGGTCGAGGTCGGCGACCACGGCCGCAAACGCGGCCGTCTTGTCCCCCTCTGGGACTTTGACGCGCCCGTCGACCCCCACGCAGTGGCCGACACGGGCCCGCTGCGCGACTCGTCGGCCGGCGTGATTGCCGCCAACGGCATGCTGGTGCTGTCGCAGGCGCTGCGGGCGCGCGGTCAGACGCAGGAGGCCGACCGGTTCCTGCAGGCGGCGCTGGCCATTGTCGAGGACACGCTGGCGCTGTCGCTGGCGCCCGAGACGGCCGAGTTTGTGGAGGAGGAGGAAGAAAAGGCAGAGTCGGCGGCGTGGGCCGTCGTCAAAGACACACACGCCGGCCAGTCGTTTGCCGCGATCCTGAAGCACGCAACAGCCAATGCCAATGCGCGGGACCACCACCGGTACTGGAACCACGGGCTGGTGTATGCCGACTACTATTTGCTCGAGTTTGGCAACCAGCTGCTGCGGATGGGATTGGCATAGCGGACTACGAGGGAAGGAGTTGTCGGACGACAGTGATAGACTAGATTACAGAGGACTGACGGCGAAGACAACACTAGACATGAGAATAGGCAATAAGTATTCAGACTGAATTCGACCCTGCCGATGGGCACACAATGATTCAATAAGGTAGCCATCCAGTGATCCGCGACGATTTGCCTATACCATTTACGTATTCACTGTGAAATGCAAAACGACATCCGGAGCAATGGCCCTATTCACTGGCCACGCACCCTGTCGGGCCGGTCGTCGAATGCCAAACGACCAAACCGGGCGAATTCAGGCTCGAATGTCGTCGGCCCCGTCGCCCAAATGGGTCCGGACACAGCCCGATGCCCGCGTAGCGTGCGTTGCCGTGCACTATCGTGCGGGGAACAGGAACAAGGGCCAACGGCAAAAGGAAAAAGGAAGATTGGGAAAGGTAAAATTATGGAGACACCTGCAGCGAATCTGGGGCCCCATGGCACGCTGGACGACGACTTTCCTTCGTCTCGTCTTTCCTAGGCCAGTCGTTCTTTGACTCAATAAGAAGCACAGCGCAGCCATGCCGCGTATTTGCCGGGCCCAGTCGCACGGTCAAGATATAAACAAGGCCCTGCGTCCGTCTGGCCACGACCGACACGGCTTTTGATCTTTGCCTGCATCCATCACCTCCTACTTTGTTCCCAATTTATTTTTCCTTCGTCTCCATCTTCACAGACCTCCACCATGGGCGGTTTTATGGACGCGTCCGCCGGTGCTGGCGTCAACCTCGCCGACCTGATCCCCAAGGACCGCAAGCCGTGGTGGCGCGACACGCGGCTGCTGCACCTCAACTTCCTGCTGCTGTCGGCGCTGCTGACGCAGACGGCCTCCGGGTTCGACTCCAGCATGATCAACGGCATGCAGTCGCTCACCCACTGGGCCACCTTCTTCGACCACCCCAACGGCACGCGCCTCGGCGCCATGACCGCCGGCACCACGGGCGGCACCCTGATTGCGGTGCTGTGGTCGTCGCAGCTCTGCGAGCGCTTCGGCCGTCGCTGGCCCATCTTCGGCGGCTCGGCCGTCATCATCCTCGGCTCAGTGCTGCAGGGCGCCGCGCAGAACTTTGGCATGTTCGTCGCCGGCCGCTTCATTGTCGGCGCGGGCCTCTGCATGGTCTCCACGGCCGCCCCGCCGCTGCTGACCGAGTGCGCGTACCCGACGCACCGCGGCGTGCTCGTCAGCATGTACATGGTCTCGTGGCCGCTCGGCTCGCTCGTGGCCGCCTGGATCACCTACGGCACCTTCCGCATCGACAGCGCCTGGTCGTGGCGCCTGCCGAGCCTGCTGCAGTGCTCCGTGTCCGTCGTCCAGATGGCCCTCGTCTGGTTCGCGCCCGAGTCGCCGCGCTGGCTCATCTACAACAACCGCCAGGACGAGGCGCGGGCCTTTTTCGCCAAGTTCCACGGCCACGGCGACGCCGACGCGCCGCTCGTGCGCTTCGAGATGGCCGAGGTGGTGGCCACGCTCGAGATGGAAAAGGAGCAGAAGCAGGCGCGCTGGGCCGCCTTCTTCAGCACCCCCGGTATGCGCCATCGCTTCTTCCTCGCCGCCTGGATCCCGGCCATGCTCCAGTGGTCCGGCAACAATTTGACCTCCTACTACTTGACCCGCGTCCTCAACTCCATCGGCATCACCGACAGCAAGACGCAGCTCATCATCAACGGCTGCCTGTCCATCTGGTCGTTCCTGACTGCCTTTGTCTTTGCCGGCCTCGTCGACCGCCTCGGCCGCCGCTTCTTGTTTCTGCTCGGCATGGCCGGCATGCTGCTGTCCTACGTCATTTGGACTATCTGCTCGGCCCTCAACCAACAGCGCAACTTTGAAGACCACGGCCTCGCCGCCGGCGTCATCACCATGATCCTCGTCTTCTCCGCCTTCTACCACGTGCAGTCGCCCGCCGCGCCCACCTACATCATGGAGATCCTGCCGTTTACGCTGCGCGCCAAGGGCGCCATGCTCTACCAGCTCACCGGCAACATCGCCGGCATCTTCAACAGCTTTGTCAACCCCATCGGCATGACCAACCTCGGCTGGCGCTACTACATTGTCTGGTGCTGCGTCATCGCCTTCAACCTCGCCACCATCTACTTCTTCTTCCCCGAGACCCGCGGCTACGCGCTGGAGGACGTCGGCCAGATCTTTGACGGGCCGGACGCGCTCACGGGGACCAATGCCATGCGCAAAATGGGCATGACGGTCGACGGCGAAGTGGAACATGCCGAAGACGCCGAAAACGCCGAAAACGCCGATGCGAGCACGGCGTCGGCCGCCAAGCCCAACGTCCAGCACAACGAAGTCGAGGTTGTCTAGGAGGGAGCATGTACCTTGTCTTACACAGTCATATAGCATTCTTTTTTAGTGGCAAGATGGGGGACCCGGGTTTGTAGCATTGCTCTCCCTAATTTTCATGGCACGCAGCACGCAATATTATTCCCAAAAGTATTCGTTGTCCGTCTTCGAACCGAGAGAACATGTATAGGAACTAGACCACTCCCACTAACCAACGTGCAAAACAGACCTCTAACACCAAGGCTAGATAACAGGTCTAAAGTACTGTAGTCCAACAATACACGTCGGCCTCGGGTCGTCTGTCGGGCGGCCTTGCCCATTTAGCCGATGTCTCCGCATTTTATACTCGATCCTTGTTAGTCGTTGCTCGTCTTATCATTCGTGGAAAGCGACATGCCAAAAAATGGAGGACCCGTGTCTCCCCATCCCGTGCGGGGGCCATCGGCAAACCAGGGCTCGGTTGTGGAGGTAGAAATGATAAAAACGATTGAGTGTTCGGTGTAAAGTCACACGACGGGACGGGACTTTCGATAGCATCGACGATTTACGTCGTACTTTGAACTTGTGTGTCCATTGCTGTCCTTCTATTTCATTTCACTTTTCTCCCCTCTTTTCTTCTCCACCGGCCCTGTCGCTGCTGGCCCGACAATCACGATGAGCCCGACTGCGCAAACAGCCTCTCATGAGGCCCAAAATGGCCCCGAGACACGCCCCGAGACACGCCCCGGGACCCCGGCAGATCAGCCACCACCACCACCAACAACAACAACAACGACTACTACCGAAACAGGAGCTGAAACGTCCTGTCTGGGCTGCCGCCGGCGCAAGCTGAAATGCTCGCGTGATCTGCCGAGCTGTACCCACTGCCAGCGACTGGATGTAGCGTGCGCCTACGACACAAAAAAAGCCAAACCAGGACTGCGACCAGGCGCCATTGAGGCGTTGAGCCAGCGCATCGAGGTGCTGGAGAATGCACTGGCAGGAAGGCAGACCATCAGCCCCGTGCCGGAGTCCAATGCAAGCGGACATGCAAACACAAGCGTCGTTGGCATCTTGGCGTTGCTGGCCCAGGAACTGCAAAAACTCAACGCAGCAGCAGCACAAGTTGCACCAACGACGGCAATCGGAACATCTGCCGCTGCTACAACAACACCGCGCGCACATGGCGCCTTGCACATCGCCTCGCCGTCCTCGACGGCCTCGTCGCCCATGACGACCATGACGGCCATGACGGCCAATGGCTACGGCCAGAGCGGTCTTGACAGTCACGGGCACAGCCACCGCCCGCGCAAACGCCAGCGCATGGTCGACAGCTGCGGCAACCCAGACATTGACCTGGCGCGTCCGCTCCAGGACTTGGCCCAAGACCCGGCCGCATCCCCCGGCTTGCCGCCGCCCGCGACGCTGCAGGCCGTCGTCAACGCCTACTTTGTGGCCGTGCAGCCGTGGATCCCTGTGCTGCACGAGACTCAATTCCGGCGGCGCATGCACGACCCGGAGCAGCGGCCGCAGCTGACCTGTCTGCTGCACGCCATGGTCGTCGCGGCGGCGCGGTACGTCCAGGAGGGCGTGGAGGGCGTAGAAGGCGTGGAAGGCGTGGAGAGTGTGGAGGGCGCAGAGGGCGCGGGGAGCGGTATCATCGACACGGACGCTCTGCTCCGACTGGCCGCACGCTCGCGCAGCCACGTGCTGTTGACGGCCATGGACGCCCTGACGGTCGAGAACCTGCAGGCGCTGATCATCCTGGCCTTCCACGACATTGGATCCGGCCGGACGGCGCGTGCCTGGTCCATTGTGGCCTCTCTGACGCGCACCGTCGACTACCTGGGATTGAACAAGGAGGCCGAGGACGACGAAAGCAGTAGCCATGTCACTCGTACGAACGGCACCAAAAGCAGCGGCGGCCACAAACAGCAGCAGCAGCAACAACAACAAGGACAACAGCATAAACAAAAACATACCCTGCTGCACCCCATGTCCCTGCTCAGTCCTCCCTCCAACTGGATCGAAGAGGAAGAGCGCCGACGCGTGTTCTGGTGTGTCTTGTTGCTGGACCGCTTCGTCTCCGTGGGCACGGGCTGGACCACGGGCCTCGCGGCCGCCGATGTGCACCGCCGCCTGCCAGCCGACGGCTTTTTCTTCCACAAAGACGAACCCGTGCTGACTCCGTACATGTACGGCGCGCCGCCTAGCAGTGGTGGTGGCGGCCTGCCTGCGGGCGACGTTGACCGGGCACGTGACCGGGAGGTGCGGGATCGGGACCGGGAACGGGAGCGGGAGCGGGACCCGGCGGACCCGCCCGTGAGGTCGCCCGCGTCGACGCACGTCCACGGACACAACACCAACGTCGGCGCGCTCGCATACTGCATCGAGGCGGCCGAGTCGCTGAGCCGCGTCGTGTCGACGTTCTTGCGCCAGAGCGTCGATTTCGGCAGCCGGCCGGACGTCAGCCGCTGGCTGACGCGCTTCAAGGAGCTGGACCTGCAGCTGGTGCACTGGAAAATGTACCTGCCGCAGCGGTGGCGCGACTCCAACGTGTCGCGGCAGCCCGCGCTCGTCAACATGGACCCGAACCTGACGCTGGCGCACATCACGCACAACACGTCGACCCTCCTGCTGCACCAGCGCATTGCGTACCCGGACGCGGCGTGGTGGGCGCAGTGGACAAGCATGGTCAAGGTGAAGCTGCCGAGCGTGTGCAGCGCCGAGACGTGCCAGAACGCGGCCATTGAGACGGCCGCCATCACCAGCAAGTACCTGCGGTTCACGCCCAAGCACCGGCCCGTGGCGAGCCAGTTTGCCTTTTGCGTGTACATCAGCGCCCGGGTGCTCCTGTTGCACGGGCGCAGCGAGGTGGGGCGGGAGGTATCCAGCAGCGGAATGACCAACGGGGCCGCCACCGGGGACGCCACCGATGTCGACGTGCTGCCCGAGTTCTTCTCGCTGCTGCGGAGTCTGGAGGACATGGACCGACGGTGGTTGGGCAGCAGCAGCAACAGCCGATTCGACCAGGACGGGTCCAAAAAGAGCATCAGTCTTGCCGGCCACTACGCGCAGCACCTCAAGGACCTGTATCGGCAGTGCCTGACCAGTCCGTCGTTTGTGGTGGACGTGCTGGGGTACACGGAGTTTGAACCAGACGTCCCGGCTGTGTCTGAACCTGTCCCCGAGCCGGCTCCCCCGGCAACTCCTTCGGCCACTGCGCTAGTGTCAGCGCCGCCTGCCCCGACCCATCCACAGCAACAGCCACAGCAACAACTGGCTGCGATTCCTCCGTCCATGCACACAATGAGCCAGCCCAACCCGGCCTCGACGTGGCCCATGCAGCCGCTCGACCAGCTGTCGCCCGTGATGACATATCACCAACACGCGGCCCAGGCAGCCATGGCCGACAATTCGGCGTCGGCGTACGCGGCGGCCTCGGTGGTGTCAGTACCGACGGGCCACACAGGCCACACCGACGACCTGACGGCGATTTCGCATTTGTTGCTGGACCAGCAGTTTATGGACCGTGACCGGGTCATTAGCTTTGAAGACAGTTTCTTTGCAGCGCCCGGGCGTTGGACATAGGTGGTGGTGTGTTGAGTGTTGGACAATCGAGCAGTATGTTGATACGTTGTCCTGGGTTGTGGTATATGCTACAGAAAGTAATTTTGATACCTTGAAAAATCGAATGTCGGATTGCTGCCTTGGGCAACAGCAAACTTTTAGTCCGTGGTCTGCAGCTTACCGGTCATGTTGAGAGCAACGTGTGTATCACAATGTGGCGTGTGTGAGATGAGATGTGAAAGTTGTTTATGCGCCGCCGGTTCTCATCTTATGTCTTTATGGTAATGTAAATGGACTGACTTTGGGCGAGTCAGTCCATTAGAATGTTAGGAATTATCCAAGGTCCTAAGGATAAGGGTTATCAATTAAAGAGGATTACGAGCAGCGGTTCGAACGTAGGTGGTAGGAAGCACAAAATCCAATCCTGTCCCTTTTCTGGCAAAGGAGGGACTTCGGATGGCGTTATATTATCTAAAGGTTCACTGGGGAGTCCCCCCTGAAATACTAGCTGCCTATGACCCTGGGAGAAGCCTGACAGGTAGCGACAGCCCAGACAACAGACCGCGCCTTCTGATCAAGAGATAGTATTGCGAACACACCTCGTAAGAACCCGTTGAATCACCACAGTGTCGACTGGGCGGTGTGCTGGGCTGGATATGCCATTACATTTACCCTTACACGAATTAAACACCTACTTTATCCTCGTAACAGTCGTTGATTGGTCATCAACAGAATACAAATGGGACGTATGGAGCGGTATGGGAGGTAGCTTTTCAATTTTGCGGTGGTTTTTACTCCTTTATTAAATTACTTTTTGATTTTGGTGATGCGACCCAACCAAACCGACGTTCATGTGATTTAAACATCGCTTAAAACAACAACAGTAATTCGTAGTACTCGAAGCCATTGGAGGTGGTACAGGCAGTCAGAGCCCCTGCAATAGCCAAAAGCATAGGGATGAATTTTAAGTTGATTGGCATCTTGACTGTTGTGTCTGTTGGTGTTCGTTGGTTTTGTTCTTGGTAGAAAAGTGCTCACAGCCCCTTTTCCAGCCACATCATTCTCACAAAAGAGAGGCCCCTACCTCTAATTGGTCCACATATTTAACACGTTTTGTACCAGCACCAATTGAACTGCCGAGAAATACTTCTATATTTGTTTACATCTCGCGAATACTATTTTCATATCCAAAGGAGAGTATGGTGTTTTCTTTCGCATTTGTGTCGAGCCCTGTCCAGCACAATTCGCGTACCACCTCTTGAATCTCCCTTACAAAGCATGCACGCAGTAGTAGTAGCCGGCCCATAACTCGGTCGGGCAGTCAGCCCCACCAGCGCCGAGCACCGTGTTCCACTTGAAAAGATCGGCCGGCGAAATCTTATGTATCGTAGCAAACGCGCTGCAGCTATCGCCCGCATTGGCCTGGGCGTACGTATCACAGGTGGTCGCGATGCCGTCCTGGGTGGGGGAGGGAGGCGGCATAGTCGGCGAAGCCGTCTTCGAGGCTGTGGCGGTGACCGGCTGGGAAGAGATCGCGGTAGCCCTCTGGGACGGCGAGACACCGATGCAGTAGTAATAACCCACCCAGAACGCGGTCGAGCAGTTTGACCCGCCGGCGCCGAGGACCGTGTTCCAGCCGTACAGCTCGGCCGGCGTAATTTTGTGCGCCGCGGCAAACTCCTCGCAGCCGTCACCGGCCGACGTATTGCTGTAACGTACACAGTCGTCCACGATTCCGGGCTGTGTGGGCACCGGCGGAGCGCCACCGGGCAACACTGTAACTTCCGGATTGGCTTTGACGGTCGTATCACTGCCACCACCACCACCACCACCCGCGTATCCCCCCCGCTGCTGCCCGCCGCCGCTGCTCGAGCTGATGTTGCTCGGCGGCGGCAAATAGGCCCCGCCGGGCGGCGTGACGCACAGAAACTGCGTATCCAGATGGTCGCACGTGTCCTGCAGATGGGGATTGTACCGGAGGAGTTGCTGCGTGGTGATGTTGCTCGCGGCCGCGACAGCATCGCAGCTTTGGCCCGTGGCATTGTACACGCTGCATGCCGACGGGATGCACCACGTGGCATTGGTGGCGTTGGGCGACGAGACATCGCAGTCAAAATCACCAAAGGCCTCGTACAAGTCGCCTGTGGCCACGTGAAACGTGGCTGCGAGGGCGCTGCACGGGTCGTCGTCAAAATCCGTCCTGCTGTGGGCCACTTGGACGAGCTGGGCGTACGTGAGTGTCCTACTCGGACACGTGCCGTTGGCGAGCCGGCCTCCATCGCTCGACAACGGCAGCACAGTGCTGCTTCCATTAATAGGCAACCCATGCAGAAATCCCGGCGCGTCGTCGTAATCGGGAAGCTCCCGCACGAGTAGGTCCGGCATATGCGTAATGTTGCACACCTCTAGAATATCATAATACTGTTGAATCAAATAGTCCGAGTGGTCGAGGTCGGCCAGGTACGGCGAGGCCAGGCGCAAGTAAAACAGGTTGACAAAGCACACGTCACAAAGGACGCTGTCGGGGTACAAGTTGGCCAGTCGCTGATTCTCGGCCAGCACGTCCGTCGGGTCGAGGCACTGGCTGTTGTTTTGATTGTTTGGTTGCGAGCAGTCTGGTCGGATAATGTCCGAACCGACCCATGCGTACGAATCGACAAGGCAAAATCGGTCGGAGGTCGTCGTGGGCTCGCGCGTGTATTTCCACGGGCGGGAAGAGCGATTATGCGCCAAACGGGTGTCGTCACCATCGCCACGTCTGACGGCACCGTTACTAGTGTCGGTAGTGTTGTCGACCGGTACAATGGTGCCCCCCACGCCCGGATCGGCCGACACATTCGTGGCCGGCGTTAAGCACACCAGGGAGAGCCCATCGAGGGCCCGACCAGGAACCGTATACAACGGAACCACTTTACCACGCACGATCAAGCCCGTGTCGTCAAAGCACCCGTCATTGACCGCGTTGTACCACGCTTGTGCAGACGCCAAACACGTACTGGTGCAGAGCGTCGTGGCGTCGTCGGCACTCCACAAGTAGTTGTCCACGGTACCGGCCATGCCGAGCAGGGTCGGATCACAGGCGACCGTCGTGTTGAGCGCGGCCAGGCAGCCGCTGCTCACACCCAGTGCCTTTGCGAGGCGCTGCGAGTCGACTGCGGGATAGAGGTTGAATGGAGACATGGTAGTCGATTGATCTGTGGACTGGGCCATGGCTTGCGTCGTGTGCAAGGACAGGAACCAGATCATGTAGGACATCATGGTCAGAGCGTTTTGTCGTGTTATTGTGAGCTAGGACGTGCCAGGATATGTGGATGAGTAGGAAGATGATGAAAAGAGATGACAGGAAAATCCCGAAGAGAAGCTGACGCATCGACAAAATGAATGCGCGTGCCTTGTGTTGCGGGAGCGCGAGGAGTAGACCAGACACGGCCTCAGAGTCTTTCAGGAAGGCAATACGGAGAATGAGAACCAACAGCACATCTACGCCGTACCCCTATCCGATACGGTCAACGTAAATCTCGGCTGTACAGTCTGGCTCCAATTCCAGACGCGCTCCCAATCCATAGGACGCTGCGACATACGTGCACGTCAGTGTGTGGTTTTGCCGATGCTGGACTTCTGCATTTTGATTTATGTAGAGTCATCTCTGGCACGGTCTCCTCCTCCTCACAGTACATTTTGTGACTTCAAACCCCCGACCATCTCCTCCTAGCAGGCTCACATGTTCGCTCAAAGTCCACAATGCACTTCTCTAACAGTCTTTTTGCCCTTGCCGGCCTGGCCGAGATCGTTATGCTTGCCATGGGCCGGATGCACGTCTCTTTTCCACGAGCATTGAACTCCAGCGGCCAAGTCGCAGCTCCTCAGGACTTCCGAAATGTGAGTGCCGGCAGTGGGCTGCTCCCCACGGGCACCTGCAATGCTCAGACACCTTGTGCAAACGGCGCCTGTTGCGGCAAGGACAACCTCTGTGGTTACTCACCCAAGTCCTGCGGCACCGGATGCCAGCACAACTGCGACGCCAAGGCGCAGTGCGGCCCCTACGCGGCAGCTGGTACGCAACGATGCCCACTCAACGTGTGCTGCTCCGAGTACGGCTTCTGCGGCTCGACGCCCGAGTTCTGCTCGTGGACGACATCGCACACGGGCGACCCCAACTATGCCACATGTAGCTCAGCGTACGGAAGTTGCGGCGATGTCAAGCGGCCGTCCTGTGCGAGCGACCGGCTTGGAACGCGCAACATCGGCTACTACGAGTCGTGGGCCAACACGCGGCGCTGCCAGAAAGTGGCCCCCCGAGGACCTGAACCTCGACGGCTTCACATCCATCAACTTTGCCTTTGCCTTTTTTGACCCGACTACATTTGTCATTACCTCCATGGACGCCAACGCAGCGTCATTGTATAGCCGGTTTACGGCCCTGAAGAGCAAGAAACCGGGCCTCGAGGCCTTTATTTCGATTGGCGGATGGTCCTTTACGGACCCGGGCGCGACCCAGACGGCATTCAGTAGGATGGTCAGCTCTGCGGGCAACCGTGACGCCTTTATCCGCAGCCTCGTGCAGTTTATGGACACCTATGGATTCGACGGAGTCGATCTCGATTGGGAGTACCCAGGCGCCGACGACCGCGGCGGTGTGGCCACCGACACGGCCAACTTTGTGGCGCTGGCCGCGGAGCTGAAGGCGGCGTTTGGTGGCAAATACGGCCTGACGGTCACTTTGCCCACGTCTTACTGGTATCTGCAGCATTTTGACGTCAATGGCCTCCAGCCACATGTCGACTGGTTCAACCTGATGGCGTACGACCTGCACGGGACCTGGGACAACGCATCCGTGTATGTCGGGCCCTTTGTGGCGCCGCACACGAACCTCACCGAGATCGACGCCGCGCTGGACCTCTTGTGGCGTGCCGGCATTGACCCGGGGCACGTCGTTCTGGGCCAGGGCTGGTACGGCCGCAGCTTTACACTGGCAGACCCGGCATGCAACACGCCCAACGGGGTATGCCGATTTTCGGGCGCGGCCTACCCGGGTCCCTGCTCGAAGGCTGCTGGCATTCTCGACTACCAGGAGATTGCGTCCCTTGTCGCCTCCCAACACATGACACCTTCGTGGGACAAGACGGCCGGCGTCAAGTGGATCACCTGGAACCACGACCAGTGGGTGTCGTACGACGACGCGGACACGTTTACCCAGAAACGCGAGTTTGCCGGGCGCCGCTGCCTCGGTGGTACAATGGTGTGGGCCATGGACCAGGTGGACCAAAAGGCCGACAATGGCTTTGGCGGCGCACCGGCGGCCGCGAACGCCCATGTCACGCCGGCCCAGCAACAAAGCGCGGCCGACGCGTCCGCCGACATGCTAGCCAGCGTCAAGTGCTATGCGTGCGACTGCGGCGGTGGTTGCAAGCCAGGTACCGTGCAGGTGGCGCAGTTCAACGGCCAGCCCGACCAGCTGAGCACCAACGCGCGCTGCCCCAAGAAGGCCTACCGCAGTCTGTGTTGCGACGCGGCGTCGACCATGGGCACCTGTCAGTGGCGTGGTTACCGTGGCGCCGGGCTGGGCTGTCTGAAGGGTTGTGCGGCCGGCGAGACGGAGCTGACCACCAACACAAACCAGCACGACGGCAAAAAGGGCGACAAGGACTGCCATGGTGGCCTGCAGAGCTTCTGTTGTGCCGGGTTCCGCCCGACCACGAAACGACTGGAAGACGATCTGGCCGATGCCGCCAAGGCGGCCGCAGAAGCACTGGCGCAGCAGGCGGCACTCGATTTGGCCGCCAAGGCGTTCTGTCGCGTGGCCGTGCCGGCCTTGCTGGTGCCGTTGGAGCTGCTCGAGGACCTGATTCCGATCGTGGGCGAGATCATGGACCTCATTGAGATCGCTGCCACGCCGGCGATCATCGAGGGCTGCGTCAAGGGCATCGAAAAGGCCGGCAAGGCCGAGTTCAAGGTCTTGGCAAGTCGCACACGTTGACGCTGGACACGCCCAAGGTGAAGCCCGAAGGCGTGCCAAGCCGGCCCGTGCCCAAAGACGGCGACCACCCCACACAGACTGCGGACAAGAATGGGAAGAGTGACCGCTGCGAGCGCGAAACTAAGCGTTCCAAGACGCTCGTTGCGGCTGGGAAACCCACGAAAACGAGCTACATAGACAAGCCGCGCATGGAGAAGCTTATCGAACACAGCGGGTACCCTTCGGACCACGAGTGGAAGCACAATGACGGCTTCGCCATGAGGCTCATGTTCCCCGTGCAGTACACGATGGGCATGTCGCCCAAACACTACGCCATTGTAGCAGGCTACGTGAAGGTGACGAAAAGGCCAGGCAGGCCCGAAGCCGCGCGCGATAGGTGTGGGAGGGTCACGCACTACGTTCAAACGGCGGAGCGCGACTGGCTCTCCAACGGCTACGATCAGGTCACATACAAAACCCCAGAGACAGGCGAAAAAAATTTATTGAGCTTGGTGGGCCCGTGGTCAAGTTTTCGGGGTCAAAAGACGAATATCCCATTGAGAACCAAGGTGTATTTGGCATGGCTTGGGATCAAGAAGGCTCCGTATACATGCGGTTGTACGTCGTCTGGTCGCCGTTCGGGAAAATACGCCGCCGTATCACCTATGAAGATGTCGAGCATTATGCGGCGAGCTACTGTTCCGCGTACCCCGAGTACGACTATCTGGCAAACAATTGTAAAATGTTTGCAGAAGCCTTGTACAGGTGGATGAGGGAGACGGCTTGCTGGGGCAACATATGTAAAATGATACGACACTAACCGTGAGTCGCCTTTGTGCGGTTATCAATTGTATTTTTTATTAGCACATTTCTTTTTTCTCCTTTTTTCTCCTTTTTTCTCTTTTTTTCCCCTTTTTTTTCCTTTTTTTTATAACAGTTTCGAACTTAAAAAAAATGCTATAATTCGCATTCAGCATAATCTTCTCACAGCGAACAAGGCCTCGCAATACCGGCCCGGGCTGCCCTCGGCTGACCGACATGACATGCCACCTTTTCACGTATTGTCCTATTGATTTTACCCAGCGGCACCGGTTTCAAGTCCCAGTTTCTGCCGAATATGTGCCGCTGTTGTCTGTTGGAACGGTCTCATCACGTGATCTGTCCTTGTCCACATGGTCGCTCCTCGTTGTTCCGTCGAGGCACGCGCTCGACATGTCACACCAAACTTCTTTCAAAATGTCACTGACGACAACCGGGGACAGTTCCTTCTCTTCGCATCTACGTCTACTCCGACCACAATAATGGCCATGGGGTTGTGGGATGACATACAGGGATACGTGTTGTTCCCCCTTGCATCTTCGTCCTCAGTCTCTGGCACGCGTTCGGCCACCCCATCGAGACATTTTACGTGCTGCTCTCGCCATTCAACCCCCAGTACTATTCCCACCACTTGGACTTTCGGGTCGACCGGTACTATGCACGCCTGACGCGCGCCCGCATGCAGTCGGACTTGCGGTCCGCCTTGGTCGACACCTTTTACAACAAGGACGCCATTATCACGGAGCTTGACAAGGCGGTGAGCCGCTGGCGCCGATGGTGCCTACAGGATCGGGGGCCATTGTACGCCTTATTCGATGCGTTCGCCGTAACGACCGTGGAGGCCAGGACGGGCCGCAAAGTCAAAGTATGGACAAACGACCGGTTCGCTGCGTTTATAGCAAGCCGTCTGGGCAGTGATGATTCGGGCGTGGCTCCTGTTTTATGGCGAACGTTTTGCTATAGCGCCCGATATCCCTTCACGGCCAACATCGATACGTGTCCCGCCGAGGAGCAGCAGTTGAACCTGCATGACTGGGTCCAAGCGGTCGCGATGCTGGCGACCGATGCTGCAGACAATGTGCACTACGCCCGGCCGATGTATTCGGTGACAGGATCGACCGTCTGGTACGGGTTTGCAAGTATGGCGGTGAAACTGAAACTGGGTCGATCGAGGCCACAGCACCACAGCGTTGACGACGTCGACAACGTCGACGAGGAGGCCCCCACCGTGCTGACACAGGTCGCGTTGGTGGCCTCCACGCAGCTGCCTCTTGACTACGCTATGCGCGGACCAAAACTGCCGGAAATTCTACCGCACATTCGGAAGCTGGTGACGGACGAGGAGTGCGAGCCCGTTTTCAAAGCCGATTTTGGTATACCGTACCATGACTTGGTGTGTCTACTCGGTGCCATGCTGCAAGTGGACAAACCGGACCTCAAAGCAGCCAGGTGGACAGGGCGACTCGACGAGAACCGCGGCCTCGGCTTGGCGACCACCACCGAAATCGACCGCGCGACGCACTTGGCTGTGGCAAAACAAATTCTCGCGGCGGCGGGTCTCCATGATGAAAAACGTGGTGGTGGCGCCGTCGCCTCGTATGAACAATATAAAGCCCTGTGGCATAGACTGGTGTGTTCCTCTGGCCACAAGACAACACCACGACGAAACGTCAACGTTCTTCTTTCACTAACGAAAAGCGCCAGTGTCTAGAACCAGTCGACCGTTTCCATCTTAATGAAAGGCGGTCGTTTGACAGGGAGATGGACCTGCTGTGGCGCAGCCTCTTTTCGGTGTTCTCGGTGCCGCAAGACCTGAAAGGCCTGAACCACGACCGCTGCGACCGAGACCAGACTCCGGAGCGCCCACCACCCCCACTCGTCTTGCAGGCGCTCGACTTCCTGTACCCGTTTCCATCGTGCGGCTATATTCGCCAAGAGCGCCGCAGCAACACACTAGTATACTCATCCGAGGACACCGCCGAGACCGGTGGTATGTCCGGTGACGGTGTGATGGCCGCTCTTACATCACACTACTTCCCCATGCTCGTCATAGTGTATGGGCGCATGACCGACGCAAGCCGGCAGCCTGCCATCTTTGCTGTGTTTACGTCGTCGCCGCTCTGGACTACCGCCGACAAAGGCCAGACAGATATGCAATTTTTTGTCGATGACAAGCACTTGTTGATGGAAATTGCGCCTCGTGCGCGTGTTCTCCAATACCAGCCACCGAAGAATAAGGAGAGCAAGACCAGATTCACGGATCTGGTTACGACCGACGACGTGGCGGACACCATCTGCTTCGGATCACGTTCGGGGCTCACCCTCAACTTTGCGTCTGGGGTGGCAACACTGTTCTCGGCGGCTGAGCCGGCTGATGCGACTGATGCTGGACATTACATTGAGATTCCCGCGGGTCCGTATACAACAGACCGTGAACCGATTGCATCCCCTGTGGCCTGGACTACGTCCATGCATATCACCAAGCTCGAGGTGTATCGTGGAATAGATGGGATCGACGAGGACTTGGTCATTAGGCGCGATCTCCGAAGTAATCGTCGACGGTCGGCGGCAGAGGGGCAAAGGGGCTAGGTCTAGATTTTTATTTAGTAGCGAAATATGGGTGTGTCATACATAATCTCACTTTGAAGGGACAAACGCCTCGCTGCAACGACGGCCAAAAACGGCGACGCCCGCCAGACAAAAGTAGAGGCCACAGCAGCGCTTTCTCGACTTCAGTTGTAGTATCCAAATAATATTCGTTGGGTAGTATGGTTCGAGAAAACGGTAAGGAAACATGCAGGTAATGCGCGGACGATTAGAGAAATGAGATCAAACAAAGGAAACATGCGTAAGAATGCGTGACAATGCATGCCAAATTCGTGAGCATCGAAAAGTAGGGCAGAAGACGAAAGACAAAAGAAACAGTCGCGTGCTATGCAGAGGCCAAAAGGTATGGCGTAAATGAGAATTCGGATAAAACATCGCATATTATCTGGAAAGCAACAAAATGTTCACAACGTCGTGTGAACGTGGGACGAATGTATCGTCACACAATTAAACGGGTTGCGGTTTTGGGACACACGCCAAGCTGTGGGCGCGAGATGTTACCACGCGGGCTACAGGCCGGACTGGCGTTCTTCGCGGCCATCGAGCCAACTCGTGCAATTGACGCAACGGAGTGACTGTATCGTTAAAAAAATGAGCGTGTCTCACATACTTTGGTCACGGTAACAATCGCCAGTCAAGGCCACTCACCTTCTCACTGATCCTCTTGCGACAGTACTTGCACTTGACCGTGTGCTTGATGATTGGGTCGTGCGAGAAGTACTGGTACGCGCTGGCCAGGGCATACAACGAGACGCCGACGCCCAAAAAGTTGATGACGCGGTTCACAAAGATGCCGTAGGCCATGACCACGGCGCCGTCATCTTGGGCAAACTGCAGCGTGTTGTAGCCGTTCTCACGCTCGTAGTTGGGGCCCGGCTTAAGCACGGCAAACTTCTCGTCCAGGTTCTTGTTGAGCGGCAGCAGCACAGAGAGCGGCGGCAGCAGAATGTCCGAGACAAAGGAGTTGACAATGGCGGTAAAGGACGAGGCGATGATGAGGCCAAAGGCAATCTCGAGGATGTTGCCCTGCAGCGCAAAGTCAAGAAAGCCCGACCAGATGTGCAGGACGGCGCGCTCACCCAGCTCCAAGACATTGTCGTCCTCGTGGATATCCGCTTCATTTAGGAACGGGTTGCTGGCGTTCGGGTCGTCACGGAAGAGGAGGACGCCGGGGCCGCCGTTGCCGCCATTGTTGTCGTCGTTGTTGTTGGACGACATGGCAGCGGTTGGGCGGAGGATGTAGGACGACAGGATGTACAATAGAGAGCGAGAGAGAATGGAGGAAGCGAAGAGAAAGGAGACAAGAAGGGCGAAGAGAGCACCGTTGGTCAAAAATATGCGAGAAGAGACAAAAAGACAAAAAGTCCAACAGACACTATGCCACCACAAGTCCGCTGGACAGCAGAACAGGGGATTTGGAGAGGGAAAACGGACGAAGAAGGAATCGAACGAAGAAGAGGCAGATGCGAGAATAAAAGAAGACGAGATAACGAGACTGTGATCCCTCGATAAAGGTCGAGTACTCGCCGATCATCCAAAAGCAATGTAAAAAAGTTGAGGTCACGAAGAGGGGGAAAGGGAGGAGGTAGAGGGAAGGCTGCAGTAGCAAGCTTGGCAGGAAGGCAAGCTTGGATCTTGATAGAGCAGGGACGACTGACACTTTGCGTACACGTGCTCCACAATTATGTCCTACAATCAATCCCCATCGAGCAAGAGCGAACGCGCGACTTTCTGGCGGTGGCTGAAAAGAGAAAGTGCAAAGTGCAAAGTGTATTTATTCGTCTACAAGCTGAGGTTGTCAGTATTTCCAAGTAGCACGGCATGACCCCAAAACAGCACATGCAGGCTAAGCTGAGCGAGATGAGCGAGCTGAGCGCCTCCGCGAATTGATCGACTGCATGAACTGCATGAACTGCATGCACTTCAGATGGACCCCTACGGTGCTGCTCCCTGCTAGTGGCCGTGTGTTTCCACTGTCCAACCCAATCGCGCCTACCTCGCCGAGGTGCTTGCTTTAGCCGGACCTGGTTTTGGTCTAGACCGTTGTTAACCTTATCAGGAAGGGGCAGGGGACAACGACGTAATACCCCATACACGTGCCAAACTGGCAGACTGCATGTCTTATGGCAGGAGCGGTCAAGGAGCATTATGAATCGGAAAGAGCGGACTTCGTATCAATTGTGGCAGGAACGATGGTGTTCATTATTACAGGAGTGCTGTGCTCTCCATAAGAGGCAAAACAAAGACAAGGCTGAATCTAATGTTGAAGAAAAAGCTGCCATGGAAGTAGCAACAAGGGATAAAAGGTTACAAACAGCTGAATAAATCCGAGTACAAGACTGGCCAGGCCTGGCCGCCCTGACGCGCCCAGAAGCCCGATAACCCAATAATTAGTGGCCAATAAGGTGGCAGTTCCTTCCGCGATACAGGGAGGCTGGTGGAGCTGGCGCCAGCACAGGCAAGTGCAAGCTGTGCAAGCTGTCCAGGCGCGGGCAGGAGCGACCAGGAGCGGGGTGCATCGACGTGATGTTCTGTCCACCGCCAACACTGGCCCCAGTTTCAGCTCCACCTGTCCACATCCGTCCTCACCATCCAATTCCAGTCGGTGAGGAAGGCGGTGTCCGTTTTTTTATGAAGATTTGTGAGTACGACGTACGATGTACCCAGTATCGTGAACCTCCTCACTTCTTGGGTGCCGCAGCTGCCGCCGCCTTCTTCTTGGCTGCCGCCGCCGCCGCCGCCTTCTTGGCGTCCGCTTGCAGCTCGTGCAGCCAGAACAGTGCTGCCACCGTCATCAGGCCAAACGCCGCCCATGTCAGCGCCTCAAACTTGTAGCCCTGGCACGCCTCCATGCCGATCGTGTCCTTGCCCAGCCGGTTGATGGAGTCCACCGTCGACTTGGCCGCCACCGCCGACACCAGACCGGCAATCAGCAGCGCCAGCGCCGCACCGGACGCGGCAGCCAGGTTGGCCAGCACCGTCTCGCGGCTGTGCGTGACGCGCGTGACGACGGAGGCGGCCGTGAGCAGGAGCCCCAGGCCGGCGCAGCAGGCCGCCACGATGTAGAAGACGGCCAGCACAATGCCCAGTGTGGGGATGCGGTTGAGCGCGGACTGCAGGCTGCTCGAGCCGCCGAGGCGCGCGAGGCTGCCACCGTCGACAAAGTTGTCGTTGAGCTCGTTGTCAATGAGGTTGGAGATGTTGAGCTGGTGGGAGTTGAGCTGGACCGTGCAGGAGGACACGTTGCGCCACGCGCTGTCGGCCGTGGCATTGGGCGCAAAGGTGCCCTCGCAGACGTTCATGACATGCAGCGAGTAAAATTCGCTGACACCGAGCACAGCCGCCATATCGTCGGCGGCCGAGTCGGCCGGCATACCGGCCAGAACGCCCTCGGCCGCCGACAGGGTCAGTTTGCGTGGAGCCAGCTTACGAGCGGCCATGGCCTTTGCCGCCTTTTCCGCCTTTGCCTCGGCTTCGGCCGCCCTTTCGTCCTGGATGGAGTACGTCTTGGGTGCGTCGCCGTTGGTGATTGTTGTCGCTTTCGCTGGACTCGGTGCCACCTCCACGACCACCTCGCTCGCCGCCACACTGGCGTCCTCGTCGGCCAGAACGACAACGTGAGACAAATCACGCGTGGCCGGCTGGTTGAGTGACGGCACATAATTTCGTCCCAACGCGGACGTGTTGAGCTGCGATGTTAGCTCCGTTGCTCCGCAATGACATGAATCGGTCACGAACTAGGCCAACTCACCATGATGACAGAAAACTCCTCCATGAAACCGGGTGTATTGCCGGCAAAGAGGCCGAGAACGGTGAGCACGAAGCCGATGATCGTGCACACCGTCGAGAAGAGGAACAAGAGCGCCATGGTAGAGTCGGTGGCGGATGTCGTCCCTCGAGAGGGGGAATGCTGGGCGTAAATGAAATAAAAAGTAATAAATAAAGAGGCCCTCACTACCGCCGGAAAGTAAGTTTGGAATAAATGAAGCAAATAAGTATCGTATTGCCGAGATTGTATCGTTAGTGACACCCTCACGCCAATATTGAACAAACCAAAGGACTCTATTTTGTTGCGAAGGAGTTCGAGGTCGAGGGGGTAAGGGTCGGAGAGAAGAAAGCAGAAAGAAGGAAAGAGAAAGGAAGCAAAGAATGAAGTAAAAGGGAAAGGGAGTCAATGACAGAAAACAGGTGAGTGGTGATATTAAAGAAAAAGTCAAGAGAAACGACAGAAACGGAATAAGCCAAGATAACAAAAATGAGGAGGCTTGGGAGAGACACATGCACGTCCGGAGTCAGAGGGGATCTACGAGACCAGGTACCTTGGGATGTTTGCGATGGTGGTGGGGAGGGAGGAGAGAATTCGTGATGCACATGGAGGGAGAGTGCAAAGGAAACGAGAATAGAAGAGCAAATCAGGAGAGGCGCAAGGACTGGGTCGATGGTGAAGACGCTCGATGGGAAACAGTTGGCCGGAACAAGACATGATGGCCAACGGCGATCCTGGTGCACCGTTTGACCCCCGCGATGTCAGCCGTCGCTCCCTCTCTCGAGTGGCAGATTGCATGTTTTCGGGTGGCAGGGCACCGATCCGTCTTGCAGACAAGCCGTGAGTGAGGGGAGGCACCGCGGCTGGAATGTTGCCTCAGTCGGATTCTACATGTCTCGTTCAACATTCCGTCCGAAGGCGCCGATCGCAACGGGTGAGACATTGAAACCACACTTGGCCCTCCGGTTTCCGGACGAACCAAGACCCAAGCAACAGAGCCAGGTAGCCAAGCCAGCGCCTTTACCTGCTGAAAAAGGTGAAGAAAATAAAACGTGGCGCAGTCCGAGCCTCAATTTGCTGTACCGTCGTCGTCTTATCAACATCCATCTTGTCACGAGGCTGCTCCGGCCGACTCGGCTCGTTCTTGGCACGGGCGCTAGTAGCGTGCCAGTCAAAGGAGATCATCCCGATACTTTCTGTTCTTTAAGCATCTACC